GTGTCTACACTTGGTGCTGAGTGATTTTTCAGTCATACTGGCCAGCTTGAGACTGAAAAACAACCTTTCTTCCTAGTCTAGACAAGGTCCTAGACACAGAGGGCCAGATACACGGCTACACTCCGGCTGATTTACACCACTCTAGGAACAGCTGTAAACTCAGCTTAACTGAGCACTTAAAGTAGGTTTACAGCTCTTTGGCATCACTGCAGTGGTGCGAAGCATCTGGCGCATACCAGCCAATCTGACCAAGACTCCCTTAGGCTCTCTGGGTACTTAGCAATTAAACACCTGCAGCTGGCCTGGGTCAGCTGACTCTGGCTCGTGGGGCTCCGACTGCAGGGCTGTAACACTGCTGTGTGGGCATGCGGGCTCCGGCTGGAGCCCAAGCTCTGGGACCCTGCAAGGGGGAGGCTCCCAGGGCCCAGGCTCCAGCCGAAGCCTGAACATCTACACAGCAATTTTTAGCCCTGCAGCCTGAGCCCTGCAAGCCTGAATCAGCTGACCAGGCCAGCTGCGGCTGTGCCAGGGGTCTTTTATTCCAGTGTCGATGTACCTGCTCCCTCTACTTTGCGCTCCTAGGTCCAGCCTTCTGTGAGTTGCTTTCCCAGTTATTCTCCTCTCTTCAAACCCCATAGTATATAAATTACACCAGTTTAGCCTCAGGGGACTGATTTCAAAGGTGATACTTTAGGGGAGGTGTAATTTACTTGCCAGTAATGGATGTGAGAGGATGGCAGCGGAAACTGGTGTAACTAGGAGGCTAGAAGAAGGTGTAAGTTACACCAAGTTTCTCATCTCTGCAATTGATCCAGAGAGTGGGAACTAGGAAATGAAAGTAAAATTGTAATGGTGATCCCCAGCCCTTTATTACAACAGTTTGTGCAGAGGAGCCCGGACCCACTGGAATGCATTAAGCATCCTAATCCTTGTCACCATCAGCACTGAATTCCTGCATTGTCGTCGATTTCTTACCTGGCATATTTAGAACGTTTCGCTCACATTCCTGTGATTGTTGCTTTGCATTCACTATTTTACAGTTTACCTCAGACCTTTTGGCCATATGCATGTGTGCAGAAGAAAAGAGCTACAGGTGTCTAAAGCAGCCAAGTGCTTGGAAAATGAGTTTTGTTTCTTCTGTGGGCTCACACATACCAGCAGACAGCAAAGGTCTCCCATGAAAATTGTGTCCCAGGGAAATATATTCATTTCAAATTCAAGTGTTTGAGGGAAACCTTCTCAAAATAGTTTTGAACCAAGAACAACAATGTACCAGTGCTGTGGGAGGGAGGGGTAGCAACGTTGTGGCTCCTGATCTGTAGCACATTTTGGCAATTCCTGTTAAGATCTAGACTAAGCAGCATGACCGTTTAGCACACCCGTCGTCTGTTCTCCTTGCACAGCAGGAGCACAATTCGGACCACATTAGAGTTCAGTATTAATTATTTAGAAACAACTTTGTGGTGCTGCACAGTCCCTGATCTGCATTTGAAAACAATGGCAGCGTCTGCACAAAAAGCAAGCTATACAGGGGAACTGTGGGGTATGGAGTTGCCGGAAAAGTTGACCATGTGGTTCCAGCGGGATGCTGTTCTGCTCTCCACACTGATGGACCAAACCCCCCCCCCCCCACTTTGCTGGTTTCTGGCTCTCGTTAATAGTGCCTAACTACTCTGCTTTGAATTATTGACATCTGACTTGGTAAGCTGTTTTTCCTTGACTGCAGAAGTATAACAGGATTTAGTTAAGGACACAGGGCTGCAATGGGTTTGCATGGGGTATAAAATGGCAGGATTTAGGCTCATTAATAACAGTGGGGTTGCATGGGTGTAACTGAGGGGCGAATTTGGACCATATGTAGCAAGCTAACCTAGATTACTTAATGCTCATTAGGGCCAGCCTTAATAACAAGCAATATAAATGGTTGTTTGGAGCCCTGCACAGACACTCAGCTCATAGATTGGCTTGATCCTAGCAGTGGCCTATGAGGAGGTCATATTTCCTCACCATCCTCCTGGCAAGGAGAGGTCCCTCCTTGCTCTGCTCCTTAGGGCCAGAGGAAGACATAACTTGTAGCTGGAGCTACGTCTCTGGTAACTTGGGGTTGACACCTCTCAGGAGGTGTTTACAACCTGAATGATTCACCGCAATCATCCCCACCTCCACGCTGGTTTTCGTTCCTGGAGGAGCTGTGGTCACCTCTGCTCCAGAGTTTCATACAGTCCCTGGCTCACAGTGTTACATTAAACCATTCATAAACTCGATCCAATATGGTCCCCAAAGATATTGCATGCAGCTGCCATCCTGTATCTATCACAGCTAGCTCGGCTGTAAGCTGTACTGACATTTGGTGTGTTGTAGCTTCTTCCACACGTCTGCATCAGCCTGGGATGGAAGTGATAATTGAAGAATGGGAATACAATGGGCCTCAATCTTGCCGTGGAGGCAAAAGGAGAGTTCATTTTCCATGGCCCGTTCAATCCCTGGCCTCTTGGATGAGACTGTCAGCAAGGGGTCCAACCGTTGCCAGTTTCAATAGTGTTTTTAGCTCTATGGATACCGTTCAACTGGGAAGAGAACTGAGACCCACCAAACTCGTTTCACTGGCCTGTTTTGTAGAGGCTCTGGGTCACTAATAACTTTGAGCTGGATTTGGACCAGTGATCTAGAGGTGAAAGTCACTGCAACACAGTTCCTCAAGCTCCAGGGTAACTTCATGTTTAATAAATGCTGATTTCAGTGTTCCTCCCTGACATTGCTTGGCATTAGCCCATGGCTGTGCACAAGTCAGCAGTAGAACCGCTTGAGCTTTGGAATGATTGCCGTCGTACGAATGACTGCTAAAACTGCAGCTTCCGAGCTCCGGAACGCCTACAAGTGCACCCCCCCCACGGACACTTCTTCCAGGGTGTTTGTAAGCCCCCATCTCTCTCAGCTTCCGCTGCCCCAAGAAGAGTTAACAAAATAGCTGGTAGCAAATATTAATTAAAAATTCCAAACAGAAAGCGTAAGTCTAAGGAGAAAATGAAATGCCACTGGTCCATTACTTTGCTCTTCGTTGCGAGCCCACTGGTTGTTTAGGGACTAATACTCCTCTTCTGCCATTTTCGTACTAGGGTAACTCCATGGACTTCAGTAGAGTAAGACCTGACTTACCCTGTTGTAAGTGAGATCAGGACCAGACCCTTAGGTTGTAAGCTGTCTTAGACAGGAACCTTGTCTTCTTGCTGACTGAAAAGCAACTAGCATAGGGTTGTACTAGGTTAATAATGCACTTAATTTGCCCATACTCCATTGATAAATGTCTTCATTTTTCTCAAATGGACAGCAGTAACTACTACTATCTGCTCTGCCCCATTGCTAATTTTTGCCACAACAACCAACCCCTCATGCTAATGGAGGAGTCTGACTGAACCCCATTAAGGTAATGGCTTTTCCAGGCCTTTCATCCACGAATCAATCCCGTGTTATTTCAGCTAGTCCATCTTAAGCTGGTCCCATCTGCATTAGCAAATTTTGAAGGCAAGAATTTCTTTGGCAATAGGGAAGGGAGAAGGAGGCCATGGGAAGCGAATTCATTAGGCTTGCTTAATATTGGGATCTCCCAACGTCTCACTGAACCTGTCAGAAAATTAAACATCCCTGGATTCTTCTGCGGTCTCTGGGTTGCCTGCCAGTGTCTGATGATAACAGTTAATAGAGTGTGCTCACTGCTCCGGGCTGTCACGGAACTGGCAGCCGGCGTGAGCAGGATTTCTGTGCTGCTTTTCATTCTAAGCAGCTGGGCTCTTGTAACTGATGGACAGTAACCCAGTTTCAATGAGCAAAAGAAGGAGCGTGTGGATTTGAAACACATACAGAACGATTGGGAATAACTGACACACACCAAAATGCATGATTTGCTGGGGCAGGGCAGAGCGGAGACTGGCGCCTTTGTACTTGGATGGCCTGTATCAGTATATCATGGTGCCCCAAGTTAAAAATAAACCCCAAAGAGCTTTTCACTCTGCTGGAGATAATGGAATTACATGTGATTGCTGGTTTCAGTTTTGTCATTTTGGTTGGAAAAGGCTCCACTCAGGGGCTTTTCAAGAGTGGAGGGTAGGAGGCTGGATGGCGCAAGAGACTGGTGATAAGATGTGGAGGTTTATAGTGCTGTGTCTCTGGCTTGGATCCAGCTTGGGTGAGGTAAGTGACAGAACAGCATTACCATTGGCAGATGGGTGGCTTGTGTGCAAAGAATTGGTGAGGGGGAGGTGACTCAGCCTGGCTCTTAGCACAGGTGACTCTGCCAGCACAGCCTGGTACTGCATGGCAGCCTTGTTCGTGACCTCCCCAAAGAGGTGGAGAATTGAATGGGCCAGGGTGCCTTGTGGATCTCCTCCCCTCTAGCAGAGGTCCCTCTGAGGCCAATGTTGGGGTAGATTGCACTGCTTCTGTCTGCACAGAGCCCAGCCTGGCAGAGAGAAGTGCAGTCTCTAGGACTATCAAGCTGGCCTCTTTCATGAGTGCCAAACTCAATTACAACACGTTTAAAAATGTAGACTGTCTCCAGACTGACACCTTCACTCCGTGTGTGCGTGGGCAGGCGGATGCCCTGGGGATGGGGAGCCGCGTGTTTGGGCATACACGTTTTCTGCACACCTTGAATCGCATGAGATGAAACAGTGTCTTGCTCAGGAGGTGTTCCGCGAAGCGGTTGCCGCTTGCTGCCCGTCAGATGCATTTTATTTACGCCCCCGCCGCCTGGAATACCATAGCTCGCCAAGTGAGAGCATTAAAAATCCATGGGAGGATAGAGGCAGGGCTCCCTGCATCGTCCAGTTTAAATCACCTCTCAAGCAACCCAGTGGCAGGGACCTATTTTAAGAACTCTGCTGGAGGCAGGTAAAGAGCAGACTTGTATTTCCTTTGTTAAAAGGGCAGCTGCTAGAAGGATTCCCTGTTTGGTTCGAGATTTCCAGAAAAACAGATTTCTCTCCTTTTCTGCTTCATCCCAGGGAAAGCAGTGAGAATTCCCTGGAAAGATGCCTCTGGTGAAGAGGAACATTGAACCTCGTCACCTGTGCCGTGGCGCTCTTCCTGATGGGGTGACCAGCGAGCTGGAATGTGTAACCAACAGCACTTTGGCTGCCATCATCAAGCAGCTGGGTAGCCTCAGTAAGTTGAAAACAGGAGGGCAAGTATGGACCTTCTGTGGGGTTCTTAAGCAGAGTGGTTGTTTGTTCATCATCTGCAAAAATCCCCACTTCAGGGCTTACTGGGTCAGAATGTCAGCTGGTGTGAATGGGCTCCAGGTCTATGAGTGTGAAATCTCAGGGAGATTAGAGAGGCTGCAAAAACAGAAACCCCAATAATAATAATGGGAGATTTCAACTATCCCATATTGACTGGGAACATATCACCTCATGATGGGATGCAGAGATAAAATTTCTAGACCTCATTAATGACTGCTGCTTGGAGCAGCTAGTCCTAGAACCAGCAAGGAGAGAGGCAATTCTTGATTTAGTCCTAAGTGGTGCACAGGATCTGGTCCGAGAAGGGAATTATAGTTGAACTGCTCAGCAATAGCCACCATAATGTGATTTCATTTAACATCCTTATGGGGGAGAAATATCATAGAAACTTATCACAGTGGCATTTAACTTCATGCCAATTTTTTTAAAAAGGCTCTAGAGGGGATCTGGCAATTACAGGCTGGTAAGTTTAATTTCAATACCAGGCAAATTGGCTGAAACTATAGTAAAGAACAGAATTATCAGACATATGCATGAACACAATATGTTGGGGAAGAGTCAACATGACTGTCAACGGGAAATTATGTTTCACCAGTCTATTAGAATTCTTTGAGGCGGACAACAAACTTGTGAACAGGGGTGATCCAGTGGATATAGTGTATTTGGACTTTCAGAAAGACTTTGACAAAGTACCACACCAGAAGCTCTTCAGCAAACTAAGCAGCCATGGGATAAGAGGGAAGGTCCTCTCATGGATCAGTAACTGGTTAAAAAACAGGAAACAAAGGGTAGAAATAAGTGGTCAGTTTTCACAATGGAGTCAGATAAATAGCAGGGTCCCCCAAGGATCTGTACTGGGACTAGTGTTTAACATACTCATAAATTATCTAGAAAAAGGTGTAAACAATGAGGTGGCAAAGCTTGCAAATGATACAACATTACTCAAGATAATTAAGTTAAAAGCTAACTGTGAAGAGTTACAAAGGGATCTCATATAACTGAGTGACTCAGCAAGAAAATGGCAGATGAAATTCATTGTTAATAAACACAAAGTAATGCACATAATCCCGACTATACATACAAAATGATGGAGTCTAAATCAGCTGTTACCAATCAAGAAAGAGATCTTGAACTCATCATGGATAGTTCTCTGAAAACATCCACTCAATGTGCAGTGGCAGTCAAAAAAGCTAACAATGTTAGAAGCCATTAGGAAAGGGGTAAGACAATAAATATCAAATGCCATGATATAAATCCATGGTCCACCCACACCTTGAATACTGCATGCAATTCTGGTATCCCCATCTCAAAAATAATATAGAATAGTTTTTTTTTATTTCGAGAAAGTTTTGCAGGCCCTGAAACTTAAATTGGGGAGTCTAAACTAAGTTGGAAGTGATTATTATGTACAGTACTTGAAACATAGATTGAAGAATTAAATATACCTCTTGCTACGGAAATAATGTAAATGAATAATCTGCAATGTCCCCTATGCAGAGCTGTTTTCTCACTGTAGTGATTACATTTTTTTTCACATGTATTATTATTAATAGACCCTAGAAGTCCCAAATGAGATCAGGGCCACATTGAGCTGGGCATTGCCAAACATGTAATAAGAGACAGTCCCTGCCCCCACAGAGTTTACATTCTAAACAGACAAGACATACAAAGTGTGGGAGGGGAACGAGAAGCCCAGAGAGATTAAGTGACTTGCCCAGGATCACACAGCAGGTCAGTAGCAGAGCTGATGATAGAATCCAGGGACCTAAACACTAGAGCACACTGCCTTTTGTGGAGCATGTTGAAAGGGACCGTATATTTTAGGAGATCGGAAAGGGGATTCTGGGAGCTTTTACCTCCACTGTCAAAGGTTGAATTTGACCCAGATTGGCACTCATGCTGTTAATGGGTAATCACTTGTCTCTGCTAGATTAGTTTGGGGATATCTTTGCAGTTATTAATATGTATCCAGCTTGTAAAAGGCTCTAATTCTCTCCCCTCCCCCCGCACCTTCCCCAGAGGCAGTTTCAGCAGAGAGGCTGAGGAGAGAAAGGGGTGTGGAGGATGAACCTGCCTCTTGCCTACAGATGAACTTCCTTTGGGGCAGTGGTGAGGGTGGTATGGGAAAACCTGCCCTGCTCTACCCGTGCTGTGCTTATGTAGTGGATAAACAGTGACCTACTCTCTCTCCACACTGTCATTCTGGTATCTTCCATCTGCATTAAATTCACTTTTATTTTTTAAAAATCCCAAATGTTTTCTGAGCTTCTTAGAGCACAACAGTTGATAATAGTGGGCCACATGCAGGGACAACACACACACACATGACAATCCCCATGGTCTACTCATCACAAAGAATGGAAATAAATTAAACCAAGACTGGCTGAGTTGCTCTGCAACTGGATCAAATCAGAAAGCTACAAAGCACAGAGTTCCTTGTTATTGAAGATGTCTATCTGCATGAAAAGCTCCTTGATCCTGAATCTGTGGGGATCGCTTGCTAGAGGTAGCTGGAAAAAAAATCAGCTCAGAACTGTCAACTAAAGGCACCACATTTAAAACTATATTATTTCTCAAAAGGAGAGAGAGGGAGAGATCAGTCCAATTAAGTCATGTACCAGGGTTGAATTAATATGATTCTCACCTGCAGGTGTCAGTAGAGCTTTGATAAACATTGTGATGGTTAGACCTTTCCCACGTTAAAAGACTTAACATGGAAATGTGATGAACTGTCAAATAATATAAGCAGCCTTAATTCAGAGTCTTTCAGCTGCATCAAAATGAATAGTGGATTTTTTTCTTCTAAGCAGTTGAGTCAGCCCTAGTACAGTTTTTGCTCATTCAAGATTGAATTCTTTCAGGACAGTTTAATTTGAATAGATGTTATTAAACTCCATATGGACTGGGAACAATACTGATCTCAATAGTCTGAGAGGTCACTAACAGGGCAGTTATAGTGAACACACACACACGTTAATCCCTGGATTTGGCTATACCATTTCAGTCTGTATGCTCTCTAATAAGAGTCAGTCTGGTCCAAAGGCTAGAGCACTGGATGGGGACTGAGGAGACCTAGCTTTGATTCATAGTCCTCCCCACTGACCTGCTGTGGAACCCTGTGAAGCTGCTTCTTGTTCCAGTTTCCCCTCTCCCACCTTTGTGGTGTCTGCTTCGATTGTAAACTCTCTGTGGGAGGGGCTGTCTTGCTGGTATGTGTGTGTACGGTGCCTGGTGCAACAGAACCCTGATCATGTTTAGGGTCTCTAGATTTCCTGCTCCCCCTATGGCTCTGTTCTGCAAGGCGCTGGCTTGTCCCCAGCCCATGAAGGGCTCACTGCCCATGCCCAGAGATACTTTCCAGGCACAGTTTTATTTTCTAAACATAGTCAAAACACAAAAGCAGTGTCTCTCAGCCCACCATGGACTGCAGCTGCCAGAGGGTTTTCCCCTTTGCCTCTCAGTGCCTCCTGCAGGATTCTTCCTGGCCCTTTTCACAGAGCACTGTCTCCCAGGGCTTTCTCCCACGAGACCCTTTTCCCCCCAGCAGGTTCCCACTGCCTCTCCTCCCAGTGACTGTGGCAGTCACATCCGCACCCCATTCCTTACTGGCAGCCTGGCTCTTTATAGCCGTAGGTGCTGCCCCATCCTTTTAAATAGCTAAACTGGGAGCACCTGTTCTGGGACAGGGTTTGAAGGGGCCAAGCACTCGCTGACAGTGACAAAATGGCCATTTTCCGCATTCAGAAACATGCACAAATATTGATGTTAAAGCCACTTAGAATGAGGGTGCTGCAGAGAACCTGTGCTCTTGGTTATATAATGACAGGTTTCAGAGTAGCAGCCGTGTTAGTCTGTATCCGCAAAAAGAACAGGAGGACTTGTGGCACCTTAGAGACTAATACATTTATTAGCGCATAAGCTTTCGTGGGCTACATTTCATCGGATGCATAGAATGGAACATATCGTAAGATATATATATACATACAGATAAGTTGGAAGTTGCCATACAAACTATGAGAGGCTAATTAGTTATGATGATTAGTTAATCTTAACTAATTAGCCTCTCACAGTTTGTATGGTAATGTCCAACTTATCTGTATGTATATATATATCTTACTATATGTTCCATTCTATGCATCCGATGAAGTGAGCTGTAGCCCACGAAAGCTTATGCTCTAATAAATTGGTTAGTCTCTAAGGTGCCACAAGTCCTCCTGTTCCTTTTTCTTGGTTATATAGTGTAACAAATCCATGGCCACCCAAGATTTCACCGTTGTCTCTGGTGCTCACCATGGCTATTGAGACCTTCATGGCAATAGCAGGTGGTAGAAACAAGCTCCTGCTGGTTCAAAAGCAGAATTCTCCTTTGAGCTCAAGGAGAATATCTCCTTAGCAGACAGCAGTATGCTGTGGATGGCAGACCTCAGAGCAGCTCTGATTCTGTGCAGCCGAAGGCAGTGCTGTGCACAAAAACATCAGCTCATTACAATATACACACTTAATACACTTGGCCAGTTATACAATTTAGACATGAAGATGGCAGTTAAAAGGAAATCCGTTCCATCAGGCGTATTCCTGTCTTTCATTATCACTTGCTTTGCCCACCAAAACCTTTTACTGCACACACAAAATATGGAAAGATTCTTGCAAACAAGCAGACCTGTAATGGCTGAGCATGAGGGCTGGAGACTTGTGTTCCCATCTTTTACATGTCTCCCAGGACCCCAGGAGGAATGCACTGCACATGCTTGTGGCTAGTTTGTGCAAACTGAAGGCTCCACAGATCTGCAGAAATAATGGCTGGGAATGCAGACTAATGTCATGGAGAACAATTGGGAAGGCCAGGCTTGTACTGGCTATGCCTGTCCTTTGTAGCGGAGTCCCCATGGGACAATCCTTACATTTGCCTCTCTCTATAGCTAAATCATCCATCTCTCAGTTGAGCTGCCATGGTCACCCCCCTTTGCCTTTTGTTCTTTAAGGCAGACATGCTGAAGACATATTTGGAGAACTGTTCAATGAAGCCAATAGTTTCTATATGCGGATGAACTCCCTGCAGGAGAGGGTAGATCTTCTGGTGATCAAGGTCACTCAGCTGGACTCAACTGTGGAGGAAGGTAAGATGGGGCTGGCCGGCAGGAGTTGTCTTTGTTCATCTCTGTTGTGTTGGTTGTAGAATGTGGAGGTTGCAGCTGGAAGGAATTTCAGTGGTAACTTTGCTCTACTAAGATTTTACTAATATTTGGCCTGCTCCTTTCTCTCTCTCTGCCATGGAGAATCATTCCAAAGGATCAGGGGGCAGTATTAGCCTGCTAGCCTGGAAGTCATTTAAAAAAACCCTAATTCTTATTTCTGTTGAGATTGTGAATGCCCATGAACAGCCAAATTTAGAGGCAGTTTTGAGTGAGGAAGTTCCCCAAAAACCCTGGGAGGTTTAGAAACATGGAAATGGAGGAACTTAGCAACTGCCACACCATGCCAGTGCACTGTCTAGGCCAGTATCCTGTCATGAACCACTGCCAGATTCTTCAGAGGAAGGTGCAAGGAACCCTGCCGAAGTCAGCTACGCGCTAAAGTGCTCCTAGGGAACATGTCTTCCTAACCCCCTTAGCTGGAGGCCAGCTAATGCCGGAAAGCAGGAGGGTTTGTATCCTTTCCAGAACTCCTTTGTTTTAAATCCTTGCTCTTCTAACCCCAGATAACATAACTCACAGCACGTTAGCTGTTCTCAGCTGTTGGAGCAGCCCCTGGGGGCTATGGCAGCTGAGCGTAAGTTAGAGCAGCCCGGAGGGTTAAGGAAAGATTACCAATATGATCAGGACTATGGTGTATTCTCTGGCCCGTCCAAGTTACCGGGGTCTAAGTGGCAACAGGATTTGGCCTCTGGCATTGAATACTGGTTCCAGCTGGCTGGAAGTCATTCTGCAGGCTGTGCCCGTTGCAACACACGTCCTTCCCTTGGAAATGTCGCCGCGTGTTTCTTTAAGAAGATCTTCCCTGCGCTGTCTCAGAGGTAGCCCCGTGTAATGCCACAGTTGCTATGGTTATTTCTTCATTGAATCCCTGGAATGCAGGTAACTTATCAGTCATGTCTCAGTGCTTCTCATGGGCAGCCTTAGGTATCTGCTGATGCGGCCGTGAATTGCCCATCACCCGGGGTCACAGCGGCTACCCACCTGGACAAGGAGAATTGGGCAGTCTGTCACTGCCACTCCTTAACCCCTGCAGACAGAAGGCGGCGATTCCTGCCTTCCAGACCACCCCTCCCTCCTTGTGTGGCGTAGCTGCTGCCTTGGCAGCCCTCCATGCAAAATGTGTTAAGAGAAAATACCGCCGGCAAACATATGAACAGTTACCTTGTTTGGGAGCAGAGAGAATACAGGCAATTATTTGATCACCTCACTGCATGGGATTAGCCTGAGAGAGGAGCAGAGGATGGCGGGGAAGCAGGAAACCTGCCTAATTAATCAATGTGACTGATGGACAGTCAGACATATGAAGAAGCACTACAAACATCCCAATGGAGGCTAAAGACATGGGGATCTAGGCACTGGAGCACAGGCAACAGACCCTGGCACATAGGTACAGGAGTGCAGGCCGTAACACATACGGAGCCTTTCTCCTGCTAAACAAGCGCTCAGTGTGTCTGCAGATGAGAGCTGTGAGGGAAACGATTTTCCCATCCTAGGAAAATTTCTGAGATACTGAAAAAATGCCCCACCCCGAATCAGGGCGAGAAATCGTTCTCAAATCTTTTTACAGACTGAAAAGCTGAAAAAAAATTTTTTGGCTCCAGTTAATCAAACTGTTTCATTTTGACAACTTTTAAACTTTTTTCCCAAACATTTTTTTTAGTCAAAAAGAAGTGTTGAAACTAACCCTTTCCTGTGAAAAGTTTGGGTTTGATGAATCGACATTTGCTGATGTTAAAAAGCTTCATTGAAAAATTCCTGACCAGCTGTATTGCAGACACACACAGCCTGGCTAGAGAGCGGATTCAATGGATGTAGGTTGCTTCCTGGTCCACTGAACAGGCTAGGAGACAGCCATGACTGTGCTGGGCTATTTGATGTGGGAACTTGATATCTTTTGAATACTGGGGAGAAGAAGGAGAGTGGCAAATGCTAACAGGTCCACAAAGCCAGAGTCCCAGCAAATAGCAGAGGGGGGCCAGTGCAATCTTTCTGATGAGGCATTAGGAGTTAGAGATGAACCACAAGCCCTCAAGTTTAGCCTGGATCAGAACTTCCACAAAGTTTCCGGGTGTTGAGATCTGGGGGGGTTGGTTCAGGCCCATCTCTAATAAGAATTGGCCAAGAATTCAAGACAGCCTGGTTGAATATAGTGCAGAGTAGGCAACACCACTGTTTGTAAAAGTGTCACGCTGCATGTGGCTGCAAAGGATGTTAGAAAATTAAAATTGGACTTATCATTGGGCTTAGCTTAGAAAAATTCCTCTGCACAAAATCCCATTGCACTCTGCCACGTCCCTTCGCTTTGTGACTTTTGGAGCAAAATTGCTGTTTTTCACCAATCAAAAGGTACCGCTGTTCCATGCAAAGGAGACTTAACCAGGGTCAAGAATCTGCCCCAGTAAATTTGCATGTGTATCTGACAGAGTCTGGCACACTCCCTCCATTAGAGACAGTTTGCCTTTCCTTGGACATTTAGCCTCTGTAATATCCAGTGCATACATACAGCTCACACTGATGTGCAGAACTTCTGCTTGTGCTTGCCTGACACAAATCCTGCCACGAGTGAAACTTCACCCAATGTAGGTCTCTTTCAATTCAGTGATGAAAACGTGCCCACTTCCCATCAAAGAAGGGAGGCCTGTCAGCAGAGCTGTCACAGCGTATGCCTGTGTGCAAGCTCAGAGTGGTTCCTTTTTTTGGCAAATTGCTGTTTCCATCCGGTGGGAGCTCCTGCAGCACAACTTGTAGTGGAGTTGGCATCTCAGGCAGTCAGCAGGAAAGCTTTGGATGGCTCAAGTGGCTGTGCCGGAGGTTGGATTTCTGCCTCCCACTCTCCCCACACACAGCTCTGCCTCATTTGCCCACATGCAGGAGAGGCCGGGGCAAATGCTCGCTGATCTAAAGGGCTGGATGGATTGTCATTGATTGTGGGGGAAATGCCAGAAATTCTGCTTGGTGCCATCGGAGAGGCTTTGATTTTAACAGTGAAATAACACAGAGGTGGAAATATTAATGCCTAGGCACCATTGGCATCCAAAGTGACCTGGGATGAGTCTCTAGTCTGCACAAATAAACTCAAATTGAACACGAGCCAACCTTTTAGTCTAGAGTATCAAAGTCTGGTTTATGTTTTGAATAGCTGTACATTTACACACTGGGTATCGGGTGAGGCCGGCAAGCATGCAGCATGAGTGTTGGGCACAGGGGAAAACAGCAGGCATGCCATGTGAGTGCTGGATGCAGTGCACATGTTGGGCACAGGTGGGACTGGCAAACACACAATGTGAGCATTAGGGCTGGAGTGCTCAAATGCAAGGACACAGTGCGAATGGCGAGGGTGCGTTGTTAGTGCAGGGTGCAGAGAGAAAAGGCCGGCACCTGGCTCAGGAGTTGTGTTGAGAATGCAAAGAGCAGGCCCCCAGCCTTTCCCCTGGCACATGAAGGTTTCTTTCTTGTGTGGTCACAGTTTCACTTCAAGACATCAACATGCGGAAAGCATTCAAGAGCTCAACGGTGCAGAACCAGCAGGTGGTCTCTCGGAACTCCATCCCTAACCCCGTGATGGAGATGTACCAGCGGTGTGACAAGCCGCCACCGCTCAACATCCTCACGGCATACAGGTAGGGCATGTGGGGGCTGGGCCTGAGCAACATGCCTCATGCCCACTCTGTGACCACGGTGTACGGTTCAACATAGACCAAACAATTCCTAGCCGAGCCAAACCTACTCTGGAAGAGATTGTTTCCTATCAGATTGGAAGGATCCACTTCTGATCAGCCTTACATCAGTTTTACTCGAATGTAACTCCATTGCCTTTGGTGGTGTTACTTCTGATTTACATCAGCATTAGCTAGCTCAGAATCAGGCCCCTTATCTCTTTGCTTGTACACTTTGTTCATGCTGCTGTATGGGGCTTCCTCTGGAAGTCCATTGTTGCCCTTGTCCTCAAGTGCTGCGCTGGAGTCAGCCTGAAGTCACAGTTGTTTCGAGTGGTGTTACTGGGTGGTTACAGGAGAATATTGGTCCACTGTTTGGTGATGGTTCAGTAAATGATGCTCTTTTCCCGGCTGTTCAGCTTTCTCGGCATTGCAGGTACCACGATCGCATCTCTCGTACAAGTTTCAGAGGAACAGCCGTGTTAGTCTGTATTCGCAAAAAGAAAAGGAGTACTTGTGGCACCTTAGAGACTAACCAATTTATTTGAGCATGAGCTTTCGTGAGCTGCAGCTCACTTCAACCGAAACCACCCAGAGTTTATTTAATACAGCCAATAATACTCTGTACTTGCACAGTGCAGATCCTCCAATGACAAATGTGATGTGAGAAAGCGTCACTGATCACTAACAGTTTGAAGCTAAATATGGCCTGGATCATCTAAAAAGGCAGGAACCCAAACCCCACCCTCATGTATCTCTAGGGGGTGGGAGGGAGTTGTAACATATGGGAGCTTCTTTGGAAAATTAGAGGGTCTCCTGGAATTCTATATCAGCCTGTATGTCAAACAGGCCTTAATAAACCACTGACTTTGAAGCCAATAGTATTTTCCATTTTTTAGCAATTACTTGAGTGTCCTTTGTGCCAAATCCTTAATGATCTATGTTGTGGTGAGAGGGGAATGGGAGGAGAGTGGGATAGGGGATGGGGATGGAACAGTGAGGGGATGGAAGGCGGCAGCTAGAGAGAAGAGAATAGGCAACTATAGGCTGAAGCAAAGAGGTGTCTTGCCACCAACCAGCGGAGCTCGTTGGGGTTCGTTTCCCAAGTGCTGGGCTCATTAACGTGCCTTTGTTTTTAGCCATTAAGTTATTAATAATATTTCATCCTGTTGCTGAGAATTTCCTCTACCCCTCCTCAACTCTGCTGTGATCATTTCAGGGATGACAAGAAAGATGGCCTCAAATTCTACACCGACCCTTCATATTTCTTCAACCTGTGGAAGGAGAAGATGCTGCAGGCGACTGAGGACAAGAGAAAGGAGAAACGCCGGCAGAAGGTAAAGGCATCAGAGAAAGCTCTGAATCAGGCCTAAGATGAGGCTGGTCTGGACTTAGTTTGATAGTCTGATACGGTCTGGTTATAGTGTCCTTCTGAAATGGGAGCAGTATCTCTTGCTCTTTCTGCCATTTCTAAGGTGCCCTTCACCGTACTATCATCCTCAAACTCATGTCCAGTCAATGCTGCTCTGGTGGTAGTCACTTGTGAAGGAGGCCTGCTAGGTTCCCACCCTATCACCTGAACAGGCTACTGCCCAAGGAGCCCTGGGTGGAGCTTGGGTATTCTTACCTCATGTGTGCCAGTCACCAGTTGTGAGGTTTTTACATTCAGGAAACATACAGATCTCCTAATGTCCAGACCAGCAATGAAAGAATCACAAGACAGTCTAGTGTCCATGAATTTCTGGTTTGTTGCTTGCTCTGGTTTGGGGAGTCATATGACACTGAAACCTTTGGAAAACAAATCCCTCTTGGCTATTTTTGACATTATGCTACCTTGATTGAAGTCCCCTATATGCCCCTTAGCTATAAGGCATTCAAGGGATTGGCCCCTGAGAATAGAAATATAAAGGAAATCTGGAGTTTCAGTGGTAGGTAAAGGATACCCCATTGCTTTTCTTTTTAAAGAGCCCAGGGACAGAAAAGCAGGTCTTAAAATAGAAGCAAGCCCCACATGTGGTCAGAGAACATGTTTAAGGCCTGGGTTGAAGAGAAACAGGCTTATCCCATAAGCACCAGTGGATGCTGCTGGACCTTGTCTTGTCCTGTTTGCTTTGGCTAATGCCTATTCTGATGGAAGATGTCAGAGCAATGGGTGTGGGAATGGCCCACTGGAATCCAAAGGCTCACATGGGCTATGCAACAAAGGGCAATTGGCATGAGCTTGAGATTCACCCTGACGCTATTACCTCCATCAAGTGTGACTGCGGACTTGAATTTCCATGTTCTCATAGACTCATAGACATTAAGGTCTGAAGGGACCATCATGATCATCTAGTCTGACTTCCTGCACATTGCAGGCCACAGAACTTCACCCACTCCTAACCTCTGGCTGAGTTACTGATGTCCTCACTGTTCTCTGGGTTGTCAGTAGTTTGGCTCAGGCTTCCAAATCTACATGGAAATCACATGGAAAGTCTCTGGAATGTATTCCAGACGCCAATGATTCTATCCCAGCTTTCACAGCTAACTGTACCAGTTTAGAAGGTGAAGACACTGGCTGAACTTGCCGGTGCTCACAGCCTTCCGTTCCATTGTACATGCTCTGGGCTGCTCCAGAACCAGCCTTGTGATTGCGATTGGTGTTTAGATCAGCACAACCTTATTACGTAGTTGAATGAAAAACAGGCAGTGGTGGTGCACCAGGACTCATCATTACAGGAGGGAAAGGGAGTGTGGAGGGGAAGTGCTAACAATATGTCCTAGTGGTTGGGACTCAGGATCTAAAAAATATGTCCTGAGAATTCCAGGATTGTTTGGTATCCCTGTTACCCTTATATACATAACCTAAAATCCTTACTTGAAGTCAAGCTCAAACAAACATTGTGCTGTGTACAGTCAGCAGGCAGCCACCCTGCAGTCATGCTAACAGGACAGTGCTTATCTGCTTCCAGGAGCAGCGGTTAGTGGAAGATTCCACCCGGGAGGTGAAGAAAGTGAGAAAAGCCCGCAACCGGCGCCTGGAGTGGAACATGATGGCATATGATAAAGAATTCCGGCCCGATAACAGGTTCTCACCATCCCCATATCACATGGCCTCATCGGAAGGATCACTGTCCCCAGACAATAGGCAGGTTTTCTGTATTACACGCTTTATTGTTTTTCTTTGCTTTTCTTCACCTTTCTTTTTTCCTTTTCGATTTTCTGGGTGAATTGGTTCCTCATGGCAGTGAAGGACCCTTAGCACTGGCTAGGAAGCAGGTTCAGGGAAGGCAGGCACTGTGCAAACTACTCCCACAGCCTGCTGCTTAGCACATGTACCTGCGTTCTGATGTGCAACACCCCTGCTAGGTTGGTCCTGCACCTGCCAAATCATGTCTAATTCCGCATTGGTTTTGCGATCTCTGTGTGGAGCTGAGATGAGACCAGAACATTTTCATTTGGGACCTAAGCTAGGATTTCCACCTAGCTGAGCTGAAAGGCTAGTTCGTTAGCCTGAAAGGCTATTGCCGCCTCCCTACCCTCTGCTTGCACCATCCCAATACGGTCTTGCATGTTTGTATTTTGGTGGCTACACATCATGTCTCCTCGTGTTGATGCCTTGATCCCAAATGCCAATAGGTGCCATAATACTCCTCCCTGACCTGTCCTCACCTTGCCTTCCCTCCAGGCCCTCCATACAGGAATACAACCTTTGGTATTTTTGTGTGCAATAGATCTTATGCGTCAGATGCAGCTGATCACTCATACCCGGCCAGTCCTAACCACCCTGTGCAGCAATTAGCTCCAGCCTCACACCTGTCAACTGACAACAAAGAAATCATCCTGGTCGCTAACCAGGCCCAGGAACATGTCTACAGGCCCTCAGCAGCAGGAAGCCGTCAGAACAGTCTCAACCGAGTCCAGCAGCCCCATGTGCCGCAGCATCCAGAGACTATATTGAATGGACCAAGACCTCAGATAGTCAAGGAGTATGGGTATGGATTTCAACCTGCTTTCCTTCATCCAGTGTCCTGTTTCTCCCTTTAAATGAGTTTCGTGCTTTGGAAAGATGCCCGGTTGACAGCCATAGAAAGTGAGGTCCTCTGTCCACAGAACAAGTAAGCGATAGGCAGCAACTGTCCCGTAGATGGTCCTTCTGTAAGTGTCCCTTACCATTCATGAGGTGAGAGATGGTAGTTCAGTCTCCATGGCCCATTCATCCCTTTAGTCATGTGATCAGCCTGCCAACAAGAACATCAGTTGGTGCCATCTGTGAGAGGGCAACACCTGTTGATCAGGAACTGCACTCAGAAAACACCATCTCCTTTCACATCATGCCACAGTGATGACTAGACCAGTACAAGACTGGTCCAAATTCAATTCAGTAACCTCGATATGTAAAGATCCCTATCCTAGTCCCAACTCTCTGACTCATCCAGCCTTCCCCTTGCTACTAGCCTTTACTGTCACCCAAAGATAAACTGCTGTCAAAAAAGTCATAATCAAGCTCAGATTTTGCCCTCTGTCATCCCGTGGAACCCTGTACATGGTTCTATTTGAGGGCAGAATTTTGCTCGTGATGATTTCTGCCAATTAGAAGGTGGCAGGGGAGGGGAAATAATTTGTTCGGGACCTTGGACAGCTTCCAGTGAGCACTTGGCTTGGGGAGACCTTTCCTATTCTGCAAGCATTCTCTTTCTGTTTTTCAGTGCCCTCCAAGTTCATAATCCCATGGGAGCTCTTACTCCAGAGTCACAAGCAAAACAAAAGACTAAAAAAATAATTCAATCCATTCATTTGAGATGGTCCTTTAAAGGGGCCATTTGGGTTCTAAACTCAATTCTCTTCCTGGGTATGTCTGCACTGCAATAAAAGACCCATGGCATGGGCAGCACTGGCTTGCATCAGTGGACTTGGGCTCACAGGGCTTGGGCTGTGGGCCTATAAAATGGCAGTGTAGATGTTTGGGCTGGAGCCCAGGCTCTGAGACCCCTTGAGACTCCAGCTCGAACCTGAACGTCCGACACTGCTATAATAACGAGGTGTCCTTGTGGCACCTTAGAGACTAACAAATTTATTTGGGCATAAGCTTTCGTGGGTTAGAACCCACTTCATCAGATGCACTGCTATGTTTAGCCCTATAGCCTGAGCCCCACAAGCCCAAGTCAGCTGACCCAGGTTCTGAGACTTGGTGCTGAGGGTTTTTTATTGCAGTGTAGATGTATCCTCTCTCTCTGTCTGGTCAGCTTCACCATCAAATAAAAGGATGTCAGTCTTCAAAGATCATTATGTATCCTGAGCCTAACAGGATCCTACAGATAGTCACACTGCTCCTTCTAATTCAGTATCACTTTGAATAGCTAAAGTGACCGATGCCAGAGGCTTCAGAGGAAGGTGTAATCTCCCCTGCACCCTCACAGAAATGAACCTAAATGCACAATTCTGTACAACGGGAGGGAGATTTCATCCTGACCCCAGCAGTCAGTCAGACCAGCCTTGACAGAGAATAATTTGTAGCCCCTTTAACTTTGTCTCAGCTGGTGTAATTGCGGATACTGTTCCTGGTATGATGCAGGGACTTAACCGGCTTTTGTGAATGAGTCTGAAGCACCTCACTGCCACTATGTTACCTGCCCCTTTGGCATCTGCAAGGCAAAGACATTTTCCAAACAATAAGTTAACAATATATTTTCTTTTGGGTGGAACACTGATCTATCAGAGGCTGTGGACCCCTGTCACAGCGGTTCCCATTCAGAGGCACAATGTACTGACCTAAGGATGGGGATTGAGCCAGATCTCTGTATTCCCCTTACTTTTTGTACGTTTAAATGATCAGTCACTCAGTAGGACTTCAGCATATCCTTTCAAGGTGAAATACGGAGAACAGGTGTCCCCTGACCAGAGGGAACATAACCTTCCAGGCCATCTGAAGCCACATTCACCAGCGTCTCAGCTCTCACTCAAGATTTACAAGCTTCCCTCCCCACACTACTTTGCCTTACACCCTCCTTCAGTTGCTGTCCTGCCCCTGCCTCTGAGCATGTAAATCCCACGTGTTTTTACATACTCACTGAATGGCAAACTGGTCCAAGATACAGTATTTTACAGCTTATGCCCATTGTTTAATCAACTTCCATGGCCCAGAGACTTCCTTGGCAGTTACACCTGCTGGAACCAGGCCTGGAGTTGATCCGGTATATCCACTTACAGGGACTGAGTTCCCTGTCATTTTTGGTGTTTATGTCTTTTCGGGTGACACTTTAGAAAACTGTCTGCTTTTGTTACCAAAGTGGGTTTCTCTGAATATATAGGAATCATTTCAAATGCAGCCACTGCTGGGGTGGAACATGGGAGCTGTTTACCAGCACATAGCTGAGCTGCACAATAGTTTAGGACAGACATTGGAGATAAATGCCGTGCTCACTTTAAACTGCAGGGGGAATTGAGCTTGTGCATTTCCCAAAGCTGGAATTTATCTGGGATGTTTGGGTTGCCACTAGGTGACCCTGAGTGGCGGCTCCTTACATTATGGTTCATGTGTGGTATTTCTTTAGCAAGCATGGTTTCTGCTATTGCCATTGATTTGCTTTCTGTCCTTTAATTGTTGCAGTCCCCAGCAGATGCCCCTGGCAGAATACTTTGTGCCTCCTGCTCCTCCGCCCCCACCCCCTGTGATACCTTCTGCTCAGACTGCCTTCGACAGCCCCATTTCAGCACCTCCTGCCCTGGCGCCCAGCGCTGCAGCCTCTGTGGCTCACTCGTCATACGCACCTTCCCCGCCTCCGGCTCCACCCTGCCCATATTCTGCTTCCCCCCCTCAGACTGGCCCCATGGGGCCCCCCGTCGCACCTCCCCCACCTCCACCTGGTCCTCCAACAGTCGCTGCCTCGCCGGCTCACTCGGCGTCATCCCCGGCGGCGGTGGTTGAACCTCGGAAACCTCAGATCCCTCTGATACCAATGAGCGATGCCAGGAGCGACCTGCTTGCTGCAATTCGGAGGGGTGAGTTATGGCCTGGGACACTGGCACTGACCAGCAGTGAGCGGGAGGGGTCTTGGCTCAGCAGAGATGGAGAGAGAAGGACATGTTGGGGATTCCAGCAGACACACATGCCCCCGCACGCTAGAGGTCTGATCCAAAGCCCATTGTAGTCAGTGCAAAGTCCCGCACTGGTTTCCATGATCTGGGATCAAGGCCCGCGTGTTCAGGGGACCTCTGAAGAAGATTTTGTTGCTAACGTTACCTGTAAACACTGAAGAGAGGGGAATTATTGATGGGGGGTTAGAAGAAGGAGAGATGGGATGAAACTGAGCAAAGGACCATTCAGTCTGGATATCAGGGGAAACATACTGCATGCAGCTTCCCAGGGAACGTGGGGGAAAGCCCCATCATTCAGGATGTTTAAAACCGGGATGCACAGAGCACAAGCAAATGCCCAATAGGGAACAAGCTTGCATTAGGCACCATGGAGAAAGCGGTGGACAGCATGATCTAACATGCCTTTTCCTTCTTCATTTCTGCGAACAATGCTGGGTTGAACAGTAGGGAGGGAGGCAGACAGGCAGGCTGTGGCTCTGGAGCCCCGTGGAGCCCACTGGTGGGCAGGCGGGTGGATTTTTACAGGTCCTCCTCTTTGCCAGATCCATAGAGGAGATGAGTCAGCTACAGCACCAGCTAGGGAGCAGTAGTTTAAGCTACAGCAGCCAATGCTTTTAGTTCTGAAGGTCCCTGGTTCACTCTTTGGGTGGCCATCACACATGCTTATATAGACAATGGGAGTAAGCTGCTCTTGCTGACCTTGGAGATTTTCCTTCCTCTCTACTGCAGGAATTCAACTCCGGAAAGTCCAGGAACAGTGGGAGCAGGAGGCGAAGAAGGAGCCAGTTGGCAATGATGTAGCCACTATCCTGTCCCGCAGGATTGCAGTGGAGTACAGCGAATCCGACGATGACTCGGAGCTGGACGACAATGAGTGGTCAGATTAAGAGAGCTCAGAATGCTGTGTTGGAGTGTACTCCCCCCTCCCTGCTTCTCCACAAGAAGGTGTGCATGGCTGGGCTTCCCTGAAAGCGAATGCTGACCGCCGTCAGCAGTTAGTGTGGCTTATTCAGGAGCTTTGCTTTTACACCATGTTGCATTGCTGAAAAAATGATGGCAGTGTTGTCAGTGGAGAGTGTGCATTGGTGGGACATGCTTTAAAAGCAGTAATAACAGCCATAGGCCCAGAATCTCGCCAGGTGTGGCGATGACACTTTAATAATGCTGAGAACACAATGAGGTGAGGATCAATGGAGTTACTCTAGATTTACACTAGGGTGGCGGCAATCACAAGCTGGCCCCATGCATGTGTTTGTAGAGAAACAAAACTGCAGAAACAGCACTGCTTATTTGGCCAGATGTTAATTTTATAATGAAAAGCTCCTGAAAAAGCATCCTGTTCCCATAGCAAATACAGCCACATGGTCTTAGGTGTCTAGAGATCACAATTCACTTGTTTGTATTTTCTGCAGATGTTTAAAATTGTTGGGATTTGGACCATAGGAACCAGGGAAAAGCTCTGTTCGTTGCCCTGAAAGTTACATGCAGAAAGAGTCTGTTTTCCCTTTAAAGTAATGTCGTTAGCTTTGCGTTCTGACAGTCAGAAAGGAGAGTTCTCTGCTGTCTCCCAGTTTCACTTTTAAGAGCACATCCTGGGGTGGCACAGATGTTTGTGGCATGGTTATATTTCCCTCTCTGCACTCAGATTCCCTGGAGAAGAGCATGAAAGGAAAGTTTAGTGTAAACCTGCTCTTCTCTTGCCATCAGCCAAGAAACAAAGCACTCATTACTGAGTAGAAAGGGATAAAGTCAGCTTAAAGAGAAAAGAACCTTGCAATAGATTTAAGTTGTCTAAGAAAGATTCTGAAGGCCTAGAAATAACTGGCTGACAGTGCTGTCCTATTGTTGTATCACCTTATTATTATTTGAAATAAAATTAACCAGGCTAAATATAACTCTCAGCTGCACCAAAGCAACCCCACTGGAGTTAGTAGGGAGCAATATTTGTCCCTTTGGGTTGAATTTTGATTTTCAGTTTCTAGTATCTGAGAATCTCCTTGTACAATTGAGGCGAATTCAATCTTATTCCTGAAATAGTTATTGAGGGAACAATTCTTCCACTTTTACTCAGGCTGAATAGTACTGTACTCCAAGAGCAGTGGTACTGGGTCGGGGTGGAGTACAGCAAACCTGACAATGACTCTGAACTGGGGGATGATGAGTAAGATTGGCAGGATCAGGCCCTGAGTTAAGATGCTGAAAACACCAGTGAATAGTATTTGGTTTATTAATCCAAATGGACAGTGATTCATAAAAGCATTTTCATGCATACTAAGGGAGAAGCCCTGAGAATCCAAAGGGATCCTATGGGAAATATTGAAAACCCACAGTCAGTTCTGAAAACTACAAGAGAACAGGAAATGGATTCTGACCAATAGAAAACTGGCCAGTGTCACCCTTGAGTCTGTATGATATGGTCAAATAGGGCCCCAGTGTTCCAGGGACACACACGTACACATCAGCAAATTCACCATTTCCACTTCCCCATCCACAGTCTTGTCTGACTCATGGGTGGTGAATGAAACTGGATTCTCTTATTTCCCTCCCGGTAACAGGAAGCTTACACTTTGGCTCCACCCTCTGGCTTCTTTGTCCATGCAGGTGACTGAAAAAAGCCAAGGGAAGGATACAGGCAGCTAGTGGTCAGCCGGAGTGAGAATGCCTGGGGTGCCTGCAGGCAGGAAGACCTGGTGAAGGGCAGGGAAAACGTTGGCTGGAGCCCACAAGTGTCACTTTGAATAGGGTCCCATTTGGCTAGTGCCACCATTCACCCTTATCTACTAGAGAATGCTGCTATTGAGCCAGCCCGCTTTGCAGGGAGCGGGGGCGAGGGGGTTCGCTATTCTAACCAAGCAGCAATAGTTCCTGAAAAACTGCAGCTAGACGGCACATGTCAGACCAGCAACAGGAAAGGAGAAAGAAAACAAGACAACAACCCAGCAGGATGCAACACAGATTCTCAGTGGCATTAACAGAGGACCCAACAGCTCAGCTGCAGCTCCGGGGGCAATGGGAATGTTAAACACATATAGAAAGAGCTGGTGCCGTGTTGTTGAGCTGGGAAGTCCTGGTATGCAGTAGTTACACCAAAGGCTCTTGCTCCTACCATCATCTTGTCTCTGTTAAGAACTAGCAGGCAACCCCCTCCCTGAGAAATGGAAAATACAGAGGTAGGAAGCTGCAAGCCAAACCCTGATCTCTTTACTCAGGCAAGTAGCGCCACTGAAGTCAATGATGCTGCTTTCCTCAGTGAGGCGAGTAGGATTAGACCCCTACTGCAAGGTCAGGAAAAGCCTTGTACGTTAAAAATAACATATACAAAACCACATAAGTGTTTATTATATGGTGTTGTTAATATATGCATGATTTTGATGTGACCGACAAATGAAGAGAAATCCCAGACTGATGGGCTTGATGTGTAAGATGAAAAACATAATATATTCAGACATAAAGTGAATGCTAACGAGATTTAGTAATTGCCTTTATCTTTGGTACTGATCGTAGGTTTATATCAGCTGGCCCACATGGCTGTGATAAAGCAGTGATGGGATTGGCAACAGCCCCTGAACATTGGCCCTGTTGTGTGTGAGTGCAGAGGAAGGGGGATTTTGACTTGAGGGCTACATGGCACCTCAGGAAGGGAAAAGGCTGCAAGGAGACTTCCCCTTATGACCTTGTGTGGGGCCTCGGCACAGTCCCTGCCCTTGCACGCTGGATGTGCAAGGTGTGGGGACTCTAATGCAGAGAAGGATATTGGTGTCAGGTGAGGCATTGTAGGCACAGTGCCTGAGGGAATGGCCTCCAGAGCGCAGACCACTACCCTTCTCACTTTTGCAAATGTGAGCTGTGTCTTAAAGCCACAGAGCCTGACTCTGCTCTACTTTCACTGGTTTCATAACTGTGTAGCTCCATTAACTTCAGTGAGTTACTCCTGATTTACTCTGGCTTATGACATCAGAATCAGGTGCACAGTCTTGCACACCACAGATTGGCTCCTACCTGTGACAGGGCCAGACTCTGCCCAGTTTACTCAAGCAAAACTCACTAGTTCATGGGAGCCTGGCCTGAACTAGAAGATAGGACTTGGCTCTGCAATGGGTTTGTTGTCATTTGCACAACCCAAGATGTTAGTTGATCATTTTCTCCAGCATTGTTGACATGGCCTTTCATAAGACATCATAACAAACCAAAGCTGGGGCCTCTCTCCAAACCGGCACACCTGCTTTCAGGCATAAAGTGGCCTGGGAGATAGGATTAAAATTCATAATGATCTGGACCAACTGGGAAATGACTGCCTAGGAAGGAGTACTGCAGAAAGGGATCTGGGGATTATAGTGCATCACAAGCTAAATATGAGTCAACAGTTTCACACTGTTGCACAAAAAGCAAACATCATTCTGGGATGTATTAGCAGGAGTGTTGTAAGCAAGACATGAGAAGTAATTCTTCCGCTTTACTCCATGCTGATTAGGCTTCAATTGGAGTATTGTGTCCAGTTCTGGGCACCACATTTCAGGGAAGATATGAACAAACTGGAGAAAGGCCAGAGAAGAGCAACAAAAATGATGAAAGGTCTGAAAAACATGACCTATAAGGGAAGATTGAAAAAATTGGGTTTGTTTAGTCTGGAGGAGAGAAGACTGAAAGGGGACATGATAACACTTTTCAAATACATAAAAGGTTGTTAAAAGGAGGAGGGAGAAAAATTGTTCTCATTAACTTCTGAGGATAGGACAAGAAGCAATGGGCTTAAGCAGCAAAGGTAGTTTAGGTTGGACATTATAGGAAAAGCTTCCTGTCAGGTAGTTAAACACTGGAACAAATTGCCTAGGAGGTTGTGGAATCTTCGTCACTGGAGGCTTTTAAAACAGGTTATACAAACACCTGTCAGGAGGTGTTTAGTTATTACATAGCCCTGCTTTGAGCGCAGGGGACTGGACTAGATGGGCTATAGGCACCATCAAAGCAAGCACATGTTTGGGGCGGCACAATTCCAGGGGCAGCATTCTGGCCACCCTTTATTTATTTATTTTTTTTGCTTGGGCAGTTGCGCTCTCAGAGCTTGGGGTGGCAAATTTTTTGCTCGGGGTGGCAAAAAACCTAGAGCTGGCCCTGACTAGATGACCTCTCGAGGTCCCTTCCAGTCCTACACGTCTATGACTCTATGATTCTGCTCCCTTTGATGTCAGTGGCAAAACCCCTGGTAGTTTCAGAAGAAGCAAGATTAGCCCTCAAAGCTGTACATAGGAAGACATATCTTGGTTAGGAACTGTGGGGACAGACACACATGGAGACAGAGGCATAGCCCACAGGTCACAGCCCCGGAGCACATGGCTTTATGTCAGCATTGCACTGCCCAGATTCTGGCTTGCTATGGGAGCTGAAACAGCTCCTGGTGTGAACTCGAAGAGGGGCTATTCTCACTCACAGCACCATCCCCGTGGCTGTCTGTAGGCTGCGCTACAGCCCACGAGAGTGAGTGATATGGGGACACCTCTTCCTACACTGGCATGCGATGGCCAGAGTAGAAAGGGGCCCTTATGTGCTGCGATTGAGGAGGGTAGTGTATTGGCTGCTTACGTTGGCCCTGTGTTGCTCTTGCACTAGGGGGATTGATCCCCAGCCTGTTCCGTCTCCTTAACAACTCCAGTCCATTGCTGGAGCACCGCTGGCCACCATTGGCCCCTCTCTTTTGTGTTTATAGCTGTAGTTGCATTATGTGTTGTGCTAAGCAATCCACTGAGGAGTAGCTGTAGTAAGATTGATCAGGCCCATGCCAGGATTGATCCTGTAGTATATTTCCTAGCACACAGCTTTGGAGTGTTTTGTTCTCTCTGGGGTCACACCAGCCATCTTTCCGAAAGTCCATTTGGCCACATTGTTGTTGCACAGCAGCCTAAGGGACAAAGTCTTTTGGATGGTGGGGTGTTTAACAGAGACGCTTTTAAAGCTATATCTACTCAGTGCATGCGGGTAGGTGCGCACTTGTGCTGTTTGCAGAGACAAAATGCCACCGTGAACCCTCTCACAGCAGTCGAGTGGACTTGCTTTTCCTTCCATATCTATTTACGTGCTTGTGCCATATGCTCCCCTCCTCTCCCTCATAAATACCACCTGATTCAGAGCACATGTTGCTGTCCTTTTGCTGCAGCTCTGTCTAGAACCATCACTCCCCCTCAGACATAAGCACATTCCCTACACAAAGTTCTGCAAGCAAAGCAGGAGAATCACAGCTCACTAAGAGTTTATGGGCCAGATCCCCATAAACTGGCGCAGTTCACCTGACTTCTGTGGAGCAACACTGAGTTACTCCATCGGACCATACATGTTTTCTATGGGCCTGATCCTACAAAGGGGGTGAGCATCCTCATTTGCCATTGACTTGAGGGACTCAGCACCTCAGTGGATTGGTCCTTATATAGTTTTGTTAGGCAGAATTAATATATTTTTGTCCCAAGTCCTACATTATGTATCAAATCAAATGTATATAGGCCCAGATCCTCAACAGGTGTATACTGATGTATCTCCATTTAAGTCAACGGTACTATAATAATTTACACCAGCTGAGAATAGGGCCCATAAACTCCTAGTTTTAAATATTTTGTATATGTGTGCCTGTTTCCATATACACTGCTAAAAGTAGGCCAGGCTACATTATACAACCAGAAACATTCAGTCCCCAGATGGGGTGATATAAAAGTGAATATTTAAATATTTTATCTAGCTTGGCAGCCAGTAAAAAGTACAATCCAGGTCACAGCTGATTGAATTTCTCCTCTCTGTCAAGTACATCAGAAGCAGGCTGAGCAAAAATCCACTATACATTAAGGTGTAATGTGTCATGTTAAAAGAGAGCCTGATAGTTTACTGACAACACACAATCACACTATGCCAAACATTTAACAACCTGGACCTACCTAGTGAGAGCTCCTATTTCCATTTTATGAGTCTTGTCATGCCTGCCAATTTATGGACATTGATTAAAAATAGTAAATAAAAGATTGCATACAGGGGAAACTGTATTCAGTTTATTTACCACATGAGATATCCTGTAGCCAGTTAAAAATAAATACATTATGTTGAGCCTGCTATGGAGAATCAGTTGAAGCATCTACTCCATGGAGTCCACAAGGGATGTGTCTGTGCAGATCTTCCTGGGAAATGACTAGTTACTATGGTGATGAGTATCCCAGAGATAGAGAGGTAGATCTTCCATAAATGAGGTCTATTCTCCATGGCTAATTATGTTACTGAAGTCTGATCCAACTCCTGTTGAAGTGAATGGAAAGTGCAGGGCAGGGCAGGTCCAGACATCAGACCCTGTTTTTCCCTTGACTTCAGTGAGAATTGGATCAGGCTCTTGAGCCTAGCGGTTCTCACAGGATCATTACCTGAAAGACAAGGGATTATTTATTTTCCAACCTTCCTCTGAGGATTTGAAGAATACTGTTGTGATGCAGTAAACTGGGGAAGAGCTACCATCATATTGCTCAAATGCTCCTACTTTTGAAGATGTCCTGTCCCTTAAAGGCTTTGCTTTTGGTGACCAAACATAATATTTAGTTTGGATTCTCCAGAGAGCTCTGACCTCATAAATCTTCTATCTTTAGCTCTTTTTAAAGCTGCCTGACAGTGTAACCGGTAGCTACTTGTTTTAGCTGAGAGAAGCTCCCCCCTCTCCTGCATTTTCGGCACACTGATACTTTTACGTTTGAGTGATGTGCTAGCAATTTCTCAGAACAGGTGACACTTCATGGTACTGGGGCATAAATGTTGTGCAACTGTGGGCCTGGTCCTGCAGTCCTTACTCACACCCATTGAAGTCAATGAGAACCTTGTCTGAATAAGGGCTTCAGGATCAGGCCTGTAATAACTTTACTTAGGCTTTAGTGGTAAGCGCCATGTAATTACACACTGATAGAACCATAGATATTAGAGATGAGTGACTTGTGGGGCTTGTCTTGGTTCATATGTCCACCAGCACTGGATTGTTCTCTCTTGAAATTACTTGTTCCTATGGATTAATGTGGACCAAATCTTCTGACTCAGGTCAGGACTGTAGTAAAGTCCTGGACACGATGGCACAGAACAAGAGTCTACTGTGCAGAGAGAAGCACTGCAAGGCTAATGAATGTACAGCCCTAGCAGAGCAAAGCTACCTTGAGCAGGTTTGTGAGGGGAGTTTTCAGGGTGTGGCCAGTGGATCCCAGTGACTGCAGAGGCTCCCCTATGCCTGGCAGCATCAGCTCCCCTGCCATTCTGTGGTCCCAGGAGAGGCATTCCAACCCTAAGGAACTTTCCTATGCAGAGCTCTCAGGCTCTGTGCATGGTAGAGGCTCTGGTCCTGTGTCACTAGATCCAATCAGCGGGATTGTATTTACCGTTATTATTATTTATGGCATCACAGGTCAGCGTGGCACTTTACGGACAAAAATAAAAGGACAGGACGCTGTCCTGAGGAGCTTGCAGTTTAACGTAGAGATCATATAACCTGCACTGCACTTTAAAAGATCAATCATTTACACATTCATAAATTTACCATCTAATTAGATGCTATTTGTGGTGTCATTAATTACCCTGCCACTACATTGTAATTACTCATTAGTGCCTGAATAAAGAGAGAGCACAAGTGAGCCAGGGGTTTAGGGTGAGATTGGCAGTTTAGGCTTCTCAGCATCTATTAAAGTGCTAGAAGTGTTGCCCTGGGAAGTAATACTATGTATTTTTAAAACTGGTATCTGTGCTCCCAGACATATTTTGCCTTTATTTGTCTTTCTTGCTTTGCACTGAATGAGGCAGTCATGCTGGTCCTTCATCCATCATAGCCCAAAGTAGAGGTAAAGATGTCCATTTCACAAACACCATCACAGCTGGCACTCATGCCTAGCTGGGAGCCTCAATAGTGAGACTGATTGATTAGGCACTGGAGACTGAACAAACCTGTCACCCCTCGAAGGGGTCTATCCGGGTGAAGGTTGCAACACATGGGTGGTAAGTTGGGAGTGTTTGTGCTAACACTCCTTTGTAGACTTATGGGTACCTCCCCGCAGCTGGCCCCAGAGTTGCCTTTCCAGCACCGTATAGCAGCACTAAAAATGGGGTCTAGTTTACCTGGTACCATTAGCTTTTCCCTTTTTGGTATCATTCCGTACATGAATCATGCCTGGCTGAGAAGAAGTATTCTACATGCAGGTGATGGTGATGTTTAGTCTATCATAGAGCATGGATAGTAAGGGGTATACAGCTTATTGGTGTAGTAAACAATTCATGTACTTTTGATGGTACACTGACATAGTTGAGAATAAACATGTGGCCAGAGGATGTCAGAGGTTAGTCACAGCACAGACTAACACAGAGCATCCATCACATTCTAGTACAGTATACTTCAAGGGTTTTAGTACTTGGGACCAGATTTTCAAAGGTATTCAGGTGCCTTGCTTGCTTGGGTACATTATTTCCTTTCCAAGAGTGTTCATTATCATACTCACTGCTAGGAATAATGGATTAGAGGTAGAGCTAGTCATAGACTCAAAAGATAATGGGTTAATCTTCCCCGCCAAACAATATGAATATTTACACATGGCCAAAGATAAGACAGTAAAAATCAAGGGCCAGATTTTCAAAGGTATTCAGGCACTTAAAGATGCAGCTAGATGTCAAGTGGGACTTTCAAAAGCACCTAAGCAAGCAAGGCACATAACTACCTTTGAAAATCTGGTCCCAAGTGCTAAAGTCTGCTTGTTCGGTTGCAGAAACGTGTGTCAGCAGTTTGACTACATGGACCAAGCACATCCTGCTTGCCTGCTTCCCTGCAGAATTTTCAGAAATGCCTAGCTGGGGGTTTCAGTGGTACATCCTCACAGCTCCCAGGGCACACTCAATGTATGAACTCCACTGGCACGGTTAACCCCTACGACTATGCTTTGCACTGTCTGCTTAGCGCATTGGGGTACTTTGTGTAGTATATATAACCCTTAATGCAAAAGAACAATTTGTACGTCAGATAATGTAAGATAAATGTGGAGAAGAAACCCTGTGTTCAGTACGATTAAAGACATGCTTTCTAGTTGGCTTTTTTTTTAATCTATAAAACACACACATAATGTATTACACAAGGCCAGGATTTGATCTCTCTCTCTCTATTGTTTTGGATGGTCAATAACGTTAGTACGTTGTGCATGCATCCAGAACATGACAATTTAAATCACATGTCAATTTAATATCTAAGGAAATTCAAGGATTGTCATAGTCTGATATGTTTAGCTTTTGAATCTGACTAATTAGCTGCATGATTTCACTCCATAGTTTCTAGACCTGATAAATAATGATCATGATGCATTAAATGTACGCAGGGTTTCCTATTAAGGCTGTATATCAAGAGGTGAGATTGGTTCCCATTGGGATTCTGTCTGTACATTCATGTTGTGTTCAGTTAGCCCTTAAGGAATGTTTCTCCTTGGGCATTACAGGCAAGGTCAGACTTGTAGATAGCTGACCCCTAATATCTTTATTTAAGATCTAGAAGGGTCTTTAGCCAGGTCTGATTTTCCTTCAGTGAGTTGTCTAGGATTGCCTCTCCAGATTGAGCCTTGCCCAAGTGACTGATCCTGCAGTCATTTGCTGAGGCAAAGTGTGTATTAGTTTTAATGGGCTATTTTCCCTGAGTAAGCCCTCAAGACTCCAATAGCTTGAGGTTTCAGAAATGCTTCCAAGGTAAACAAAACAAGAGATGATTTGATCTTCCCTAATCATCTCCTTCTGTGGTGTAGGAAGCTCTGACTGGAGAACCCAGGACAGAGGAGAATGTGTCACAGGAAGGAAGGGAGGATGAACTATCACTCCATGAAATATGTGGAGAAAATATGGCCAGGCAGATGGAATGCAGCGCACCACAGTGTCCTTGGGAGGCAAAACTGGCACATTAGCTGGTCTAATCTCTTCTCTGTTAGTCAGAGTTTGCACAGAGCTCTGAAGATGTAAAGTGCGAATGATTAGTGGGTTCTCACCCTTTCCCACACAATGCACCTTTCCTTAAGATGGTCACCCTCTCATGGGTACCTCCCCACAACTGGCCTCCCAGAACTGATACTAAACCTCCTTATGGAAACTTTTGGCAGTTAGTTGCATGAGAAATTATTAGAAGGACAGAATTAAAGAGAGAAGATGAAAATACACTTGTCTAATGTAGCAATTTTGTTGCACGTCCCCCCATTTTGTATCTCTCCTTCTTATTTCCCTTCCCTAGGCATGAGACTTTGTATTTATTAGGTCCATATCTCGCTTTGGTGATTACAACCATAGTCGTTCCAGTGGCACTGCAGTTTGTTTCTGGCCTCCTTTGTGTTTGCTGCCCCTCTCTGGTTTTAATGTATTCCGGAAATGTGATAAAGATTGACTTTACCCCCCAAAGAAACACCCGAGAAAGGAAGACATGAAGCAGCTGCAGAGAAGGAGAGGTGCTTGGAGAGGTTTTTTTAAACTTGGTTGGTAAAAAAACAAATTGGTTTTTGTTGGAAAGTGGTAGCCCAAAACCAGTGCTGGACAAGGCTGCAGTGTGTGGAAAATGTTACTGCTTGAAGCATGGGAGGTGTTTTAACAGGGAAAAGGATGCACTTCTGTGGACCACTTGGAAGTCCGTCATAGACCATCCATAAGTCACACGGTATTAGATCAAGGCTACATTTTCAAAAGCGGCTGCTGATTTTGGGTGGCTCCAGGCGGGGTGCCCAGTTTGAGACTGTTCAGCTTCATTTTCAGAAGTACTAAGGCTCTGCAGCTCACATTGCCTTCAGCTAGAGTTGTGAGCTCTCAGCACCTCTGGAAACCAAGTCTAATATGTTCTCAAGTTGGCCATCCAAAACCTGGGCACTCCCAATGAGTAGCCACTCTTGGAAATTGGGCTATAAATAATGGGGAAGCAAGAATTGAGGGAGTTGAGCAGACAGTACAAAAAAATGTGATTCAGGAAGAAATTCTGTCCATCACCGTGTTAGGAAATGCCTCACTGTCTGGAGGCCCTATCGTGGTTGAACGGTCTTAGTTCCCACTGAAGCTGATGAGCAGTAACTTTTTAGCCTGTAATCCATGCTTGCCTATACCTGACATCCATGCTAGGTACTTTTGGTACAAAGAGAGACACTTTTTCCACAAGACTATTCATAAAAGAGTAAAAACAAATTTGACTTTGACTAAGCCCAATGAAGTTACCATGGGTGAAAACTGAGGGCATAAAGATTTCTTCTACAGAATGTGGGCTGGTTGTTCCAGCGAATGACTGGGCGTCAGAATTCCGGGGTTCTAATTGTGGCTCTGCCACTGATTCACTGGATACTGTTGTAGCTGTAGGCAACTCATTTCCCTGTGTCTCAGCTTACCCATCTGGAAAATGGGTCTGATGCTCACCTCTCTGACTGAAGTGTTATGAGGATTAATTAATCAATCAATCTTTGAGATTCTTAGAAGAAAGGTGCTACACAAAGGGCCAAAGTTCTGAAGTGAGAAACACTGCAGTATTAAACTCTACTCTTCCCCCCAGCATATCGAGGGGGGCAAAATCCTTTAATGAAGCCCATCTCTTTCTCTTGACTTTATCGCCTATGCTCTCACAGTGGTGTGATTGCATTTCAGGAGCACTTTACATTGTATTGTTTTACTACTGATTTTTAAAACATCTATATTTTTAATTAACATAGTGTTTTTCAAAGTGGAAAAATACTCACGTAAGACCAGGAGATTGTCCAAAGTTTTGTGCTGCTGCTGCTGCTTTGGGAGTGGGTGAGAGCTGGATGAATGAATGTTCAGAGGCAGGTTCCAAAAGAATGAAATTCACACGAGTTCCTGAGCCCCACTTATGGCCCATGTGTCTTCAAACAGGGCTGAACTGAGAGTGAAGTGGTGCACAGACTGTGAATTTCACCTAGTTCCTGCCCTTAGATCCAAGCATAGATTTTGTGCTGGCCATCTTCAAAGGGGTAAATTTCATCTAGATTTTGTAATGAGATCCAGGCAAACAGACCCTTGAGCTCTTGTGAAACCCAGTTAAGACAATGGGGCTCCGTTTAGGCACAGGGGGTTGATTCCATTTCATTACCAGGCCATTGTAAGTAATTGTCCACAGAGAAAGAATGATGTGATTATAAATATGTAGGGATTAAGTGTCCCCCTTGCTCAGGCAAAACTTCCTAGAGCTTTGGGTGACAGGATGAGACCTGCAATGCCTGACAGAAAGGTCACTGTCATTGGTTCAAGATAGTTTTTCTGAAAGTAAGTGACTGAACTCCTTTCCTTGTCATATAATCATGAATAAAGTAGTGTAAGGGGACAAATTAATGATCTGTTATTGCAGCGTGTTGATGAGAGCTGTAATAATGAGACTTACTGGATTCCATCTGTGCTTAACTAGACTGAAATGTTCTTTGCTGCTCCTTCAAAAAGTGTCTTGGCAGCTCTCTCCACATCCTAGTAACTTTTGACCCAGAAACTGACAATTTCAGTGCCTACTGGGAGAAAACTACACAGTGCTGGCACCAGTTACTACTAACAAGGATTGATATAAACTGTAGAAAACCAATGGGGAGCAGAGAGAGAGAATCCAATGAAATGAAGGCAGGTAAACAATGTGAAGCTTTCAAGGCCATACTTGCAAATGATATGGCTCACACTTCCTCCACCTAGAATGAAACTGACAATGAGCTGCCTACATGTTTGACACCTTTGTTAAATGTAGTGTGATACAGCAGACTCCTTGGGTGGCAGGGAATATACGGAGTAAAAGTTTCCATCTCTTTTTCTTATCATGTCTGCATTTTTATGAAGTTATCCATCTCTGTGAGACTCTCACCGGGGCGGGAGTGGAGCATATGTGCTTAGTATCCATACTCCGCTCACTGTGGGTGAAATTCTTTCCTGTGCAGAAGCCCAGCCCAAGGAATCACTTATATCCCACAAGTTGGAGTTTAAGTGATGCAATAGGTGTTGAGCCCTCCCTTTGCACAGGTGTGAAATCCAGCCTCCCTTCATATTTTCCCCAGGAGCATGGCAATGTGCACTTGGTTACATTTCTGTTTCTTGTTATTTCAGTGCTGGGGTGGGGAGTGTTTGCTGGTGTGTGCATCTTTGGAACAAAGCCTCAGTGTCACTGCAAATAATATCATTGCTCTCAGTGATTTTTTTCAGTAGTTATTTCCATATAGAGAAGTTTAAGGTTTTCATTCCATTCTGGTCAGATTCATCACCAATGCAAACTCTTTATTTGGCTTTGATTGGATATTAAAGTAGCTAAAACCTTTCCCTGAAACAATTTTTTTAGGAGTGCTTTAGACTTCCCCATGTTAATAACCTTTCTCCATTTTTAAGCAGCTTGACATGCCCGTGGAGAATTTGGAATGATACACTCACATAGTGCTAGTTTGACCGTACTATGAGACTGTTCCCCACTGCTTATTCACAGTATTGAGAGGTTTCACTGTGCTATATATGGTTGCTAGAACTCTTGTTTTACATTCTTTTTCTAGCAAGACATTGGGAAATGCTGCATTAGCAAAATTCATTATCGACACAAGTGCCTTTTATGGAAATTGACGTTACATTTCCAAGGAGCAGGGGGGAGAGGGATGGTTATATGAAATCATCAGTAACACGCAGGACCAGGAAATGACATGCATGCACATAGCATTGTAGGGTTCTCAGCTAGTGTGGGTCGGGCTGGGAAACTACACACAGAGCCAAGGTAGACCCACACAGTCAGTCTAGATTAACTTTCTGCTTTTGACTATGCCTACACAGGAGCTCTTCATGCGACCCTTTAAGCAAATAGGAATTTTACCATTTATCTCACTAGTACTGGGCCCATATCACCCGCCTTGAGCTCAGCTTGCCAGCCTGAGACTTCCTGTTATTTTTGCTGTGCCCTGGGCCTGTCTCCTTTTGTCCCTGTTAAGCCAGGGTGATGACAGGAACAAACAGAAGCTGGGGGCTGCCAGTTGGCTGCTACACCGGGGCCTGTTGGGGCTGTGAAGAGCGCCCGTTGCTATGAAGGTGTCTGCAGTTCTGAGTAGGGGGCTGTGTTGCATCAGAAGAGCTGGAGGGCTACATATGGTGTTTGGGCTCTATTTTGACTGCTCCTCAATCCAGCCATTCAGAGTTAACCCAGTGTAATGCAGGTTGGCTGCAGGGATTGAATCTGGACGCTCTCTATTTACTAGCAGCAGCCCTTACTGCTTACACAAGAGGACCAAGACTCATAAGCCAAAGTTCATGGTCCAGCCAGTAAGAGTCACACTTTGCTGGTGAGGATTATACCACAGTCCTCAGAAGCACTAAGATTTGTACCTAGGTGGTAAACTTTTCATTTTTGTTTCCAGTGGTTGTGTCCCCAAGATTTAACTTTTCCTTCCAGTACAGCTACCAGGAAAGGGGTGTCTTGGGGGGGGGCGGGGAAGAACCAGCACTGCAGATGTCAGTGAAACATCAGCTCCCCCCCCCACAAAGAGATCTGTGCCTCACAAACTACAACACAATATCAACCATGATTCCATCTGTTCACTGAACGTAGCATTGCTCTAAGCCTTTATTCTGGTTGTGGCCAACGCAAAGCCCTCCCCATAAACTCTTCCATCTCGGGGTGGGAATCAATTGCAGAGAGGACTGTGCATAGAGGCCATCGTGCAGCTGGTTCAGCCACATATGCATATGCTTACGAGCATGTGTTCTGTGCCCCCTGTCCTTTGGCCGTGCCCTGTTATGATCCTCCAGTATTCCTTTTTCAGCAGCCTTGCGGAGCTTTCTGTCTGCAGACAGTATTTTCAGGGGAGCCAGAACTGAAGCTGCCATCTTCCACCATGTGACTTGCATGGATTCGGGCAGTGGTTTTCTGGCAGGTGTCCATGCACAAGATGAGCCAGAATTCAGTCCATGGAATCAGTCTGGATTTCTACGCAACACATGTAGGTCCCAAATCAAGCCAGTGAATCCATTCACAAATGTTGCTCAGTGCAAACAATTTCTTTCATTATTACTAATCAATGGATTGCGCTTTATGGTAACAAAATCAGAATGATTTAAGGCAAACTGCAAGCTTTTCTTTAAAACAAAAAAAGTGAAAACTCTATTACAGTGTCTTGGCTGCTTAGTGACACACATGGTACGTGGGACAACATACAGGCCTGGCTCCGCCCATGTGCTGGTGACATCATTCCCAAATATCACTGTTCCAATGAGATGGGTGTTCATGCAGAACTATATCCACCCACAGCACTTAATAACTACTCATAATACTGACACGTCACAGGAATAATGCAGTGACCTATGGCAACAAAGAGGTGATGACCATAGGACTAGAGGCTGCTGCTACCCTTCTTTTCACAAGTAATCCCATTGACTTCAGTCAGGTTATTTGTGTGCCTAAGCACTACTGATGTGAGTACAGTCAGGCAGGATTGGGCCCATCAACTCTTCTGCTTCACGGGACAATCTCTTACTATATGCGTGTACAATGCCTTGCACAGCGGGGCTGTGATCTCAGCTGGGCCTGTTAGCACAGCTGTAACTAAACAATCAGTGAGACTAATCAGCTCCCCTGGGGAGGGGCTGTGTTGTTTATTCTTCTGGTAAAACCAAACGGGGACTGAATAAAAAATCAGTAAGAGCCACCCCAGGACTGGACACTTGGAGGGATACACCAACTCTGCAAAACTTTGGGAAAGAAGGAAAATCTCTGGTAAAGGCCCCAGATCAGTACAGTTCTGTATGTGCAGAGAGGCAAATCCCAAACAAGAGCATATTAACCAGGTCTCTTTCTTGGCCCTGCTGGGGCACCCATTCTGATCCCCCTCTCCCCCAACCTGCTCTGCGCTGCTCTGGGGTGTTTGAGTTGCCATCAGCCCTTGCAGGGGGAGCACTGGCTCCTGAGTGGAGTGCTTGGGGCTACAGGGAATGACTTGCACGGGGCTTAGTTTCACACTGTAAGGTCACGCTTACATCTGCAATCACTGGCTCTTCATGAATGATTATTTAACACTTATACACAGTCCTCATTTGGGCCAAACTTCAACTGCCGTCGGAGGGAGCTTTCCCTGAGTCAGGGCTGCGTGAAAACAGAGCTCTGATCTGGCCCCTTAGTTACAGTAGCTTGATCGCTAGGTCAGTTATTAAACTACTTCTTTGAATGGTGGATAATGACATATCTCCCAGCTGGTCTGTGTCTCTCCTGGCCACATACCCAGAGATAGCAGAACTGGGAGCATTTCCAGACCACTGGGCTCTGGAGTATAATTCAAGAACCCCTTTTATCCTCTAAGAACTACTACTAAGGGCTAAATTGTCCTAGTATGCTGGGTCCTGCAGAAGGGGGCTGTGCAAAATTGCATTGCCAGAGAGGGAGCCCCTGTAGTCCTCAGCATACCCTGGGACTGGGAGCATCACATGCCCTGTACCTCCTGTGAGAGACAAGCTCCTGGCAGCTAAGAGAGGGGCTGGGAGCCTAGAACAGTGGTTCTCAAAGCCGGTCCGCTGCTTGTTCAGGGAAAGCCCCTGGTGGGCTGGGCTGCTTTGTTTACCTGCCGCGTCCGCAGGTTCGGCCGATTGCGGTTCACCGCTCCAGGCCAATGGGGGCTGTGGGAAGCGGCAGCCAGCACATCCCTTGGCCCGCGCCGCTTCCCGCAGCCCCCATTGGCCTGGAGCAGTGAACCGCGCCAGTGGGAGCCGTGATCGGCTGAACCTGCGGATGCAGCAGGTAAACAAACCGGTCCGGCCTGCCAGGGGCTTTCCCTGAACAAGCAGCAGACCGGTTTTGAGAACCACTGACCTAGAATATATTTGGCGGAGCATAAGGACATCCACTGTGGCTGGTCCCTGTGAGGGTGTGCAAAGGCCGGGGGGGGGCGGGACTTCTGTTTGCCCTTCCCACCTCTTGTGCATTCGTGTACACAATGTGTTCCTTCATGTTTGTTTAGCTTTGCCAGAGGAAGCTCAGTGAGCAGGTGTGAGTTGTAGCCATGCTGATTATGAAATGTGACTGCAGATTTTCCATCACAAGCAAGATACTTCCCTTTTGTTCCGTAAGAGTGGTTCTGGGTGTGATATCAGCAAGTAAACCAATGGGATGGCAGCAAGTTAGGGACGTATTACACACCAGACCAGTCTGTGAGGAAGGCCTCATCTAACTTTAACCATACAATTGGAACACTGTTTCTGCATACATTGCGTTATTGGGACATCTAATAGACTGAGCAAAATGGGAGATCCAGCACAATTACGTTGGTGTCTCGTAGGCTCACATAATGGTTTTTACTTTTTAAAACTTAAGTATTATTTTTTTAAAACTGAATTTCCGTTTGGTAAAAGTGATTAACAGGAGAAAGTTATCTCCACCTTGTGAGTTTGCACATGCTTCAAGATATGTCTTGATTACTGATTTGCATTATTATATAGTTGACATAAAAGAGATGTTCACTGTCTAAGGGGGTCTTTTAACTATGTGCACTTAGTCAATAGCTCAGTACGTGTTGCTGCTTCTCTCTATCCACTGTACATAGTTACTAAATGTAAGCAAGTGTATTTTTCCCAGTGTTGTGAGTTCTACCTGTCTTGATGCTATCAAAGAAAGGTATGAACTATATGGTTGCAAAATGAATTTTCTTCTGTACAATCTACAGAGGAAAACTGTAAAGATTTGAAAACTGCTTGTAACTACATTTGTTAAAAAATGTTGTACAACATAATCCCAGACTGATGACACTATATGCATGTGGTAATAAAAAGAAAATAAAGATTTTAAGAGGTTTATGGTTTGTCTGTCTGGGGCTATTTATGGTTTTCACATTCTTGGGTTCTTTCTGGTTGGAAAGAGATTTAAGAGTGTGTTTATTTCTGTTAAAAATGGATGGATTAACATCCCTAGTGTTTTAAGTCCTCTGTATCCACAGAAAAGGTATGGAATCGGGAGCAACACCTTAACCCTTAAATAGAGGAACCCCTTTTAAAATATAGCTCTCTGTCCATATTCATTCCGTCCTCAGCCTCTCTGCTGAGAGTAACAATGAGGTTGCCAATTGGTTCCAGTTCTGGTGGCATTTTAGCAATATTGACATTTGTTCACAAGGAGATACACCAACTCATTCTGCAGTCATCAAATAGCCTTCAGGTGACAGTTAGACTGTGGTCACTACCACCCTGATCTGGGATCGCAGCAACAACCTAAAAGCAAAGTGTTCCATAGTCAAACACTTTTATTATGGAAAATAATGTGGTAGCATTGTTGAGGTTTGGATCACATCAACAGAACTAGGCAGAAAGTAGTTTTGCAAAAAGTTTTGAAATGTCAAAGTTGGTTTCATTTCAAAGTGGAACCATTTTTTTCATACCATTTTTGATACAAATATTGAAAAAATAGTATCAAAATGATTATTGATACTTTTTGTTCAGCCCATTTTGGAGTAAATAGAATATTTAGATAACCACTTAGATAATGGTTTTGATAATATTTTGAATCAAAATATAAAAGCAAAGGCATGGCATTTTTATTTTATTTTTTTGCAAAAAAGTTGAAAATGTCAACAATTTTGCAAAAAAAGACCCCAAAACAGAGAGGACATTTTTTAAAATGAAAAAAGCCTCCTTGTCCTTAGCATTTTGACCAGCATATTAATTGGAGGATCAGACTAACCAATGGCTGAATTATGTTGAAGGCTCCCTAAGCAGAGCTGTGTTGAAGTGAAACATTTTGCAAAGATTTCCCAGAGTTGTCAATAGGCCTGATTTTGCTCCTCTCTGATGTACATATGGAGTAAGTCCATTGAAGTCAGTGGAGTTACACTAGTGTCTCTCTGGTGTCCAGAAAGTGAGAGGAGAATCTAGCCCAGTGTGTCAAGAATAATATACTGCTCTTTGCTGCCTTTGTCTTCCATTGGAATTCCTTAGACATCTCTTGACAGTGATGCACATCTCTTCATGTTAAAAGCACAATCTGCGCACATGCTCACGGTCAGTGAATTTGCAAGTGAGGTCTACTACAGCCATCACTGGCATGATCCTTACATTGGCATCATGTGCCATTAATGTTTCATGCTGAACAAATAATCCTCAAACCAGGCTCATCTCCCCAAGGTGAGGATATAAACCACAGAGGACCAAATTCACCCCTGACGTAACTGAATTGACCTTGCTGGAGTTGCAGCAGGGATGAATTTGGCTTATCTAAAAGAGACCTCGCTGGAATTTGACACTCCTCTTAATTTGACCAAGCAGCTCAGATTGTGATTATTGGCACCTAAAGGAATAAACCTGGATTAAGTTATGTGTTGGTGTAGAGCAGGATGAGTCATGAAACACACAGAGCAACTCACTTCAGGTCTTTGAGGAACTCCTCAGCCTGTTAAAGCGAGGGAACAGTGAATGAATGGGAAAACCATATCTATTTTATACTTGCCCATGCTGTCTTGTAACCGCACAGGCACTGAACAGAGCCCATTCATCTGCTGCCCTCTTTAAGGACCAAGAAAAAAGAACCTGAATAAAGTAGTGAGGAAGGCCAGCTTTCCTGTTTGTATGAATGTGTAACAGGGCGTGTGGGGTGTATGCAGCACATTCCTAGCCAGAATGATATCTGAATAATACACAAATAGCACTTTCTGCTTTGCAAAAAGGTTGGGACCTATCTTTTAGCGCCCTCCTCCTATCAGCCCAGACTTCACTCTTGCTAAGTCCATTCACTGGATGGCTTAACTCGGAGCTCGCTCAAGGAACCCGGGGAAGCAGTGTCCAGCAGGATTAGCTGTTTTATTTTAAGCCTCATTAACAAACAAATCAAAACCTTGCACCCTCCTCTCTCAAAGTCTGTGCAGGCCCCTCCCCAGATGTGTCCCTCCCATCAGTAACTTCAGTGACTTCAGTAACTTCAAACTTTCCTGGCTCTTACCTCAGAGCCTCCATACAGTCTCCCCTCTGCCCTTTTGGTTTCTGGAGCAATTCCTCTCTGCAGCAGCTCCAGTAGCTGCCCATTGGGAGCACAGCCCCATGCCCCTCAGCTTTGTAGAGGCAGTTCTCACGCCAGTTCCTGCTGCCCTCTCTTCGTAAGGATCAGCTACCGAAGTTCCAGCTCTTTCTCAGGTGCAGTGCCAACCAGCTGCAGGCCTCTGACCCCCGAGGAATGGTATCCCTTGTACCTTCACATCCTGCTGCTGCTTTTTTGACTGCTACAATATAAAAGGATCAAGCTCTATTTATTTATGCTCAGTCACCTTGTCATGACACAATTGGAATCATAGAAACTGGGGTGGGAAAAGACCTCATATATTTCATCCATCCTGGGGCCAATTATCCTTTCATTCTCCATTGCTTTGCCTGTTCTAGTTTTAAGCATCTCAAGCACTTGGGCTTCTACCTGTTCCCTTGGATAACAGTTGAAAAGCAAACCCATTTGCAGTTTTTTCCTGCTGTCTGGCCAAATTATTAATTTTCTTCCCATAACTTCCTAATAAACTCCTGTGCATCATCCCATGTATTTCTCTCCCTCCTTGGTGTTTTCCTTCCCACTTAGGACATGTCTACACTGCAGTTAGACACTCGCAGCTGGCCTGTGCCAGCTGACTTGGGCTCGGCAGGAGAGGTTCTTTAATTGCAGTGTCGACGTTCGGGCTTGGGCTGCAGCTTGAGCTCTGAGACCCTTCTACCTCACAGGATCCTAGATCCCGGGCTCCAGCCTGAGCCTGAATGTCTACACTGCAATTAAACAGCCCCTTAGCCTGAGTCCCATGAGCCTGAGTCAGCTGGCATGGGCCAACCACGGGTTTTTAATTACAGTGTAGACATACCCTTAGTAGCCAAATGAAATAGATTTGGCTCAGAACATAACATACGAACGACAATACTGAGTCAGACCAAAGGTCCATCTAGCCCAGTATCCTGTCTTCCGACAGTGGCCAATGCCAGAGGGTTTGAACAGAACAGGTAATCATCAAGTGATCCATCTCCTGTCACCCATTCCCAGCTTCTGGCAAACAGAGGCTAGGGATACCATCCCTGACCATCCTGGCTAATAGCCATTGATGGACTTATCCTTCATGAATTTATCTAGTTCTTTTTTGGACTGTTATAGTCTTGGCCTTCACAACATCCTCTGGCAAGGAGTTCCACAGGTTGACTATGCATTGTGTGAAAAAATGCTTCCTTTTGTTTGTTTTAAACCTGCTGCCTATTAATTTCACTTGGTGATCCCTAGTTCTTGTGTTATGAGAAGGAGTAAATAACACTTCCTTATTTACTTTCTCCAAACCAGTCATGATTTTATAGACCTCCAGCATATCCCCCCTTAGTCGCCTCTTTTCCAAGCTGAAAAGTCCCAGTCTTATTAATCTCTCCTCATATGGCAGGCGTTCCATACCCCTAATCATTTTTGTTGCCCTTTTCTGAATCTTTTCCAAGTCCAATATAACTTTTTTGATATGAGGCGACCACATCTGCATGCAGTATTCAAGATGTGGGTGTACCATGGATTTATATAGAGGCAATATGATATTTTCTGTCTTATTATCTCTCCCTTTCTTAATTATTCCCAGCATTCTGTTAGCTTTTTTGACTGCCGCTGCACATTGAGTGGATCTTTTCAGAGAACTATCCAAAATGACTCCATGATCTCTTTCTTGAGTGGTAACAGATAATTTAGACACCCTCATTTTATATGTATAGTTGGGATTATGTTTTCCAATGTGCATTACTTTGCATTTAATCTCGATTTGTAAATCAGTCCTTTTAGCATTTGGTTGCTCCCCTCTGAATTCCCTCCTCTTTGCAGATCATCCCTTTCTTCCACTGAGTAGGCAGAGAAAACTCAAGACTAGCAAAATGATGCTTAGATACCACGGTGATGGGCACCTTAGAAATCAGAGGTCCTAATACTAGGACCTTGCAAAGAGCAGAACACACCACCATGAATATCCACCATGCCAATCTAAGAAAGCATCTTTAGCACTCAGAAACCATGGAGATGGATGCTATAGAAATGTGAAGGTTAAAGCAAATCAAATGGCTTAATGGAAGACAGCCTGCTAACATTCTCTGCCACCTGCCATCACCTTTCAGAAACCCACCAAAGTTGCATAGCAATAGCGTATATGATTAGATTCTCTCAGGTACCTGGCAATAGGCATCATAACTCCCACACCTCCACAAATGAATGCACATCATGCAAAGCTGGTGTTAATGTGCCCTGTATTCAGACTCCCATCTCACAAGCCAACTCTTCCCAGTCACAGTAAGAATAACCTGCACAGGCGTGTTGTAACTTCAGTCACTGGGAATTTCTTAAAGCAGTGGTTCTCAGTGGTGTTTTTTTTCATGGACCACTTGAAAATTGCTGAGGGTCTCGGCGGACCACTTAATGATCTTTTCAAATGTTGTTTGTACCATTAGCTAACTATTGTAAAGCGCTTTGGGTAAAAGCACTATATATAAAAAAAATAAACCTTTTTTGTTCTACACATAAAAGCACACAACTCATATTTTCATATCAGTAGTCTTACCTTTCTAATGCGATGGAGGTGCCCTCTCTCCCCCGCCGCGGCAGCCCCCATGCTGGGGCTGGGAAGGAGAGGTGTCTCTCCCCCACCGCGGCAGCCCCTGAGCTGGGGCTGGGAAGGAGGGGGGGCGGTCTCTCCCCTGCCATAGCAGCCACTTAGCTGAGGCTGGGGAGGAGGGCCCTCTCCCCGGCAGCCGCAGCCCTGGAGCTGGGGAAAGTTGCCTCTTTCTCTGGCCGCCACAGCCCTGCACATCCCAAATTCCCCCCACCCCCTCTTCTCAGTGCACTGCCCCCTCCCACCTACCCCCTGTTCCCCCCAAGGCCACCACCTCACCTTACATGCGAGTCTTCTCCAGCGTCCAGGCACCTAATTAGTGGAGCCATGCCTGCCATGCCATGCCTCAATTGCTGTGACAGCACACAGAGCAACAGGTGGTTCTCTCAGGCAAGCAGGTCCTATAATATAGGTGGCTTTAAATATTGCAAGGAGTACCCTGCTGTGTACTCACTGCATGACAAGCATTTCCCAGCGTGTGCCCAGGTCAGACTTTCCCCTCCTAGTAGTTACACCCACTCCATGCAGTGAAGCTAATGAACAGGTCTTTTCCTCTTTGTTATTCCTTTCCACTATCAAGATTTCAAACACACACGGATTGGCTCTCAGTTGAACCTATGATATCGATTAATATCCTAGTCCAGTACTGCCAACCTCAGACATTCAAAAACCATTCCCAAAATCATGAGATTGACTTAAAAATCATGAGGGTTTTTTTTAATATATTGGGTTCTTTTACTTACTTTCTGTGTGCACTTGAGTGACATTTTTGAGCTTTTCTCCATAACCCTGAGGGCTAGAAACTTGCTTTTTTTTCTAATGGAAGCTGAGATTCTCACGCAATCTCTTGAATCCACAAACTGGCGCTTTCAGTAAAACACTTATTCCCAGACTCACAATAAAATTATGAGAGTTGGCAACACTGTCAGATTTATAACATTTTACACATTAAGTCTTGCTTAATGCAAAGTTCAATGTATATCTTTGTCCAGCAGCCATGCCCCCTCAGATTGGGATCTCCACTGAAGATGGGTCCTGGAAGATACTTTGCTAGAAGACCTCCCAGTAATGATTGGTCCTAGTGATGCGATTAAATGTAGGGTGCTCTTCCCTCTGACTCAGTAGTAAACCAGCACTGCAGAGGAGGGGTTAGGCAACACTGCAGCAAGTGTCTTTACAATACAGCCTGACCATTTGTGAACACTGAAAATCTCAGGGTCCTTGTGCCAAGAACAGAGGTGTTAGCCCCAGTGATCAACCTAAAGTCCAGCTTGAGTTATTATCACTCTCTCTCTCGCTAGTATTTTAAGCACTACCTATTATCCTGGGCCAAGATTAAAAAAGAGAGAGAGAGAGAGAGACAAAGGCTAGGCACCTAAAAAAATGGCCAGTTATACAAATGTGCTGAGCTCCCAGCCCTCAATGAGAGATTTTTAAGTACCCAGTACTTTTGAAAATCTCACTACTTGCTTAGGTGCCTAAATGGGAGCTTTGGGTAGCTGAGCTCTGGCCCTAGGAGCCTAATTTTGAAATCTAACCCTAGGAGCCTAATTTTAGGCTCCCATTTTTGAAAAATCTTGGCCTTGATATCTAAGCATCTTCCAAAATCCCCCTGCGCTTTCAAATGCATGCAGCATTCTTCTTCACTTTTTGTCCTGAGTGCCCATTGTTGCACACTATGAAACAGCTGCAGCTCTCCGTTCTAGAGGTGATGGCATCACTCCACCAGAAACCAGAAGACTGAGCTAGAGGAATGGGCACTATGAGCCTGGGCAACAGGAGCAGCTGCAGATCAGAAGAAGGAGAGCTGGCTTTGACACAGGGAGGAACACCCTGCTGGATCTGGTGGTGAGCTAACCTGGAGATAGGCTTCCCAGTGCAGCAGATGACTTGATGACTTCCTTTGGTGTTGAACAACGTTCATAGGCCTAAGCCACCCAGATCCATGCTGAGCTGGCTTGGAACTTCCCCAAAGTTCTGAGAGGCTGGAATCCAGATAAGGTTTTGGTTTGGGCCCATTTGGCTTCATTTCAGTTTGCTTTTAACATGTTATTAGTCTTGCTTTTCCTATGTGAATTCACTGCTGGAGAAACTCAGTGACTTGACAGCTCTGCAGGCTGAAATGCTCGATTCCCCCCCTAATAGGTACAGCTCCAGGAATAACAGTGCAATGGCATTCGATTCCTCCCCACGCCCCCACATCCCTGACTTATCTGTCTGATCCCTGCCCTGGATAGATCACTTCTAGGGAGGAAAGTCTAGTCCTATTTCCATGCCCATTTAATTGTTTGGTTATTTTAAAAAAGGACTACCTCTAGGACTTACCTTAAAGACACTGCCATATTTTGGACTATTACTATGGAATACTGTTGTGTTTGTTATATGGAGTTTCCTCTTTAGGGAGCCTGACAAGATAGATAGATAGATAGATAGATAGATAGATAGATAGATAGATAGATAGATAGATGTCATGGTGGATATATAGAGTCTGATTTTCAAAGGTGCTGAACATGCTCAGCTCCAGTTAAAGTCAATGGGAGTAGTGGATGCTCAGTATCTCTGAAAATCAGGCCCAATAGTGCCCAATCTGGCAACCCTTACTCATTGACTAGAGTCCCAGCATTTCTCAAATGTGGCTACCAGGAACTTTTCTTGAGGCCACAGGCTTCTGGGCGGTGATTGGTGGGAGGGGAGGGAAACAACGGCCCCTCCTGCAAGGCCACCAGCAAGGGTTGGGCCCTGCCCCCCTCTGGAGCCAGAAACACTGGAGGAACAGGCAGTCAGTGTGAATTCCCAACGTTCCTGAGGCTGGTGGAACTTGGGCTTCTGGCTTCAGCCCTGGGGTGGTGGGTTCTGGTCTCCAGCCACAGAGCTTTGGCCCAGACCCACTGGCCCCCACTGCCTCCCCCAGTCCATTGGCACTGGTCCCACTGCCTCCTCCTTCACCCTGGCCCATGCTGCCTCACTACCCACCTCCCCATCCAGGACTTAATTTGTCCCCCAGCTTGCTAGGGCTTTGTAAATTTGCTGTGAAATGTGATATTTGTGTGTTTGTTAATATCACTTTTCACTGCCTCCCAGCTAGCTAGCAAGTCTGCTACTGTGAAAAATGATATTAACAAATATACAAATATCATTTTTCATAGCAGCAGACTTACTAGTTAGCAAGTCTTAAAAAAGCAACCAGAAAAGCAAAAGAAACAACAACAAAAGACAAGAACATGCAAAGCTCCTTATTTGTGATTCCTATTCTGTTTAGGTCCAGTAAAGTATAGAGACAACTGTACATTATTTGTATTATTGAGTTTAAAAACAAAACAAAAAACCCTTACATAAATAAATGACAATAATTTGGATGTATCTATGTGCATATTTATTTGTTTTTCCTAAAGCTAATTAAGTATTTTAGGGAAAATTGTCAGAGCAGCCACCAGCAAGAATTGTTGTGACTAGACATAGAGATTTCAGTGAGACTCCTCATGTAGGTAAGTCTCCAACTTGGGTGAGTAGAGTTTGCAGAACCAGGCCAGTAGGTCGTCTGAAAGCCACCAGCTCAACTCACATAGGTCACTGAACAGCTGTTTTAAATACCATGTTATACAAGTGATTTTTTCTGGATTAATTTATCTGGAATAAAAACACAGACACAAACAAAATGGCACATACCTGGGACAAGAGCCCAGATCTTAGATTGTTTTAATTTTGATTTTTTTTTCCATTTTGGATATTCTCTTGACAAATCACTTTAACATTTTTATTTACAGTAATAAAAATAAATTACTCTTAACAGAGGCATGTATAATATACACACTAGAGATACAGTGCAATAACAGCATTGATTTATTGTCACTTGTTCATAAAGTGCATTGCAGGGGCTTTATTTAATCATAACTGAATGGGAGTGATACACTTTCCTTTGTAATCAATTTACCCATTCAGATTAAAAGGATAACGAAAAGTTACATAAAAATAATCTGCTGTCCTGATTGTTCTGATTTTTCCTACTTCCCAGAATAATAAGTAAAATAGTTCTGAGACAATGTACGTGGGTCCGATCCCACAAGACCCTCTGTATATGATATTTCTCTTGACTTCTCTGCACGCAAAAGGCTTGCGTTATTGGGGTCCTAGATCGGTGAAATGACTTTGTTCCTTCAAAAGGCTACCCTTTTGTTCACTACTTTCGCCAGCATTATACAGAGAGCCAGCACAAGAGCTATGCACCAGCCAGGTCCCAGCAAAGCATTTAGGTACATACTTAAGTCCACATTCCTATTCAGCAAAGCACTTCAAGCACACGCTTAACTTTTAGCACATAGTTAGGAATGGGCTGCAAATTGGGGTATTAGTCCTTCTGAGGGCTTCAGTGGGCCCCCTTAGCTGTGTATAGACCCCCTGCTTGCCCTCTGTCCAGGGATGAATTTCATCCACAGAGCCTGAACCTAAATGCACTCACACCATTCCCCCTGACTCCAAAGGGTGCAGGTTCAAGCCCAAAGGGCCCACTTGTATGACATGCCAAGAAGCCCCTTACAAGATGCTGAATGCCCTTAACCCCCTCCTGAAGCCAACGGAATCTGAGGGCAACTCAGCACCTTGCAGGATGAGGCCAAACCCCAGGATCTGGAGCGATGCCCCTGTCTTCAAAAACAATGTGACTCAGTCATATGTTTAGAGCTACATTCTTCCCCAAATCCGTACCTTTCCCATTGATGTTAGTGGCAGCTGCCGGTGCAGATTTGAGAGCAGAATTTGAATTTGGATCATTGACTTTTAGCTGGGGTTGTGCATGTGCTTCCAAAGGAAAATTTGGCCTTAAGGGCACAAACTGTCCAAAATATATTAAATACTACAGGCCAGATTCTGCTTTCAGTTACATAGTGGCTTAAATCCATTCTCTTCAGGAGAGACTCCAGATTTTCACTGGTGTAGCAGAGCAGAATCTGGCCTGTATTTCTTAAATCTGGCTGAGCTCATCAATTTATCTTTAAAGGCTAGATGCACCTTCTGGTTCATAAAGAAAATTCATCTGACACTGCAGCAACCCTCAGCACAGAGCTGTTGCTAAAGCCTTATAGTCAGAAACCTGTCCCTCCGAGTTACAGTTGATCTGTATACACAGTGCAATTTATTCCGCTATGAGCCTGATTCTGATCTCATGTTGGTGTAAATCAGGAGTAGCGCCACTGACATTAGCTGGTTTACACCAGTGTAAAACTGTTGTAGTGGAGAGGTGAAACAGGCCCCAGGTGCTATGCTGCATAAACTTTAAATCTAACATCTCCTTTGCCCATAAGTGTCTGCATTCGCTTGCAGATTTGTTCATTAGTGAAACTGTGCATTGGGATAAGAACTTTTTCTTAGATGTCTTATCCCCGTGATCCTGCAATAAAATCATAACACTGTGTTTGTGACTTCAGAATCTATTGATATGATAATGTGCTGTCAGACATTCAGCCTCCTGACCACTGTAGGATACACAGATTGTGAAGGGAAAAACCTTTGTCTAAAAAACAATTATACTTGATATGGAGCAGAATTTATTAAGGCACCCGTTATTCTTCTCAACCTACCCAGTTGGTGAAAAAGCCGATCTCCTGACTGATACTTAGCATGTAGCTTCACTTTAGCATTTCTCAGTGGATCACAACAACACTTTTCATATTGTTTTTCCAGTTCTGGACTACAGCAGTTGCAGCCAGAGATGGCTGATTTTTGGAAAATGTTGCTAGCAGGATTTGGTTTTGCAAAACCCATGGTCAGTTTGGATCCAGAGCCCATTTTATCCACATCCCCAGAGGTCTGGGATACAAAGGTGTTAGAACAATGGCTCTGGATTGCCTTCTCTAGTTATAGACTGTTCCATCTCTCTGCATCATTCACTGTACAGCATTTCATAAAGTTTTCAACAGGAATTGCCTCTCTTCTCTAGGGTCACAGGAACAAAAACCAAGGCAACTACATTAGCTATTTTGTAAGAGGCAATTAAGCCTTTATCATGATGATTCAAATGAAATTGTAAGAAGATCCCAACGCCGCCACCCCACCAAGAGAAAAAGACTGGCTTTAACGAGAAGAATTAGAGGCAAATACCGTACGCAGCATACAATTATTCCTGACAGTTAAAAATGTATTTTGTCCCATTAATTATTACTATACATTGATACAATTTAAGTAATTATGAAAATCAAAGGCTTACTGTCAAGTAGATTTAGACCCCAAAATTAAGTTTTTGTTAAAAAAAAAAAGAAGAGGAACTTTCTAACAATGTGAACAGTAATGTTTTCATTATTTTTATTCTAAATTCAATGAAAGCTATTTGTTTGGGATGTAAAAATTGTCACTGTTTTGATTGAGACCCCAAAGGTTGTAACATTCCTGCTAGTGAAGTGAAATTGGTTAGACAGAAAGTGAAAGTGACAACTACAGTTCCACTGACCAAACTGAGAGTAGGGGGAAGTAAACAAAAAATAAAATATTTTTTAAAAAAATTGTAAAAGTCAACAATCTAAGGTATGGTTAGTAACACTGATAAAGGCATATTTTTAAATATATGGGACCAGATCCATTAAGTTCAATGCAGGTGTCCCAGGAATTCATGTGGCTTGTGACAGTGTCCCATTTATCTGTGCTCCCAAGCTTTTCAAATACTGTGTGTATCTAAGGAATGTTTCCCCTTCCCCTCTCCTTCACTTCCACCTCCCACCCTCCCCCCACAACCTACCTACCTACCTACCTCTCAAAAAAACAACAAAGAGCAACTTAATAAGTGATTCTTACAACTGTGCTGCTGGCTATCAAACATGTGGTAGGAAAGAAAAGGGCAAACAAGACACCTGGAAGTGAAAAAACTAAAAAACAGGTTCATGTTTCTCTGGTCACTCTGAAAGAACACTGGGGTGGGTTTTGGTGTGTTAAATATTTTGTGCAATTGCTTAAGGCCAAATTCTTCACTCGCTTGCACTGGTGTAAATCTGGGCTAACTCCACTGAAGTCACCAGGAGTTTTACTGGTGTAACTAAGATCAGGATCTGGCTCGTCATAGTCAGTCAACAGCCTTTTGCCTGCATGTGAGAACTTTGCTTTTCCAAGGGGGAGCAATGACTGCGGATCAAGTGTGTCTCAGCTAAAGACACTGGGGCCAGATCCTGTCTGCCACTTGCAGTGGTGAAAGGAGAGGAAGCTGGCTGGAAGTGGCTGGGGCGACAAAGGGAGGATCAATCCAGATGGCACTTGATCTGCAAGGAGACTATGTCCCTTTGGGATTTGCCATAGTGATGATGATAAGTGACGGGAGGAGCAATAGCTCCACATGAGGCAACCATGAGGCTGGTGCTGGGGAAGTGGCTGCTCGATGTGGCATGCTACCCATACACATGGAGCAAAACTCCATGGTAAAATGCTACACAGGTTACTGCTGATCTGCGCAATGTTGACTCCCCACACTGAAAGACTTCATCCATGCAGAGGGGAGCTATATGCAGCAGCAAGAGGATGGAGGAAATAGGTCCAGGGCATAGAACCTGGCTATAGGGGAGGCATGTCCCTGATTGTGAATGTTGCCCATGATTTCCTACCTACACTTAGGTTTGCTGGCATTGTTCTTTTTCCTATTCCCAAAGGCAGCCGGCTCTGCCCCAGAGATGGACATGGGGGCTCCTGCTCATCAGCGATCTTTGGTAGGTAAGTCATCCCATTCCAGGAGGGAATGATGAGAGGTCATTTTCACCAATTGTTTAAATGAGGCACGGTTCATCTGTTGAAAACTGAATTAGTAGTTCACTCTGAACAAGGTGGAAACCTAAACAACAGTCAAACAAAATCCATGTGCTACTGAATAAGGTGGGAAAGGAGAAGCAAGGATTTGGTCCTCTGGAGAAATCAAAACTTTCCTGATATTAATCATTTGACCTTAATAGATATAGCTCTGCATTATGTTCTCTCTGATATGCAAAGTGTTAACTATATGTTAGTGGATAAATAACCTTGACTACGTACTGAGCAGTCCCTCCAAAGTAAGCCAGATCTTCATATGTCATGAATCAGTTTAGCTGTTCTGAAGTCAAAGGATTTATGCCAGTTTGCACCAACTGAGGATCTGCCCTTTATACTGTTATCTACTGTTATCCTTTATTAATATGACAATAATTAAAGCAGAGCTCGCTTCTCAATACCTCAGCACTTCAAATAGCTTGTGTCAGTTTTGGTTTCTTTATCGGACTAAATCCAACAGGAGGATCCTTGCCAATAAGCAATGGCCCAGATTCCCCAGGGCACTCCAGTTGCTTTGTGCAACTCCCATAATGCAAAGCAGCTGTAAATTTGGCTCATCAGACTAGTTAAACTGTGTTTACAGCTGCTTGGCATCATTAGAGTGCTACAAAGCATCCACTGATAAATCAGGCCCTATCAATCTTATATTCCTCTTCCACCAGACATTTTACACTGGTGTAACTCTACCGACTTCAGTGGACTTTTTCCTGATTTACACCAGTGTGAGAATGAACAGAATCATGCCCAGTGTTTTGTAGCAACACATTCCATGAACTCAGCTTTGAAAGACAATAGACCATCACTGTGTTATCATTGTGCATACAACTTTACTAACTTGGTAAATATTTCCAATAATTAACCTAGCTCTCCTTAATAAATATTGACAAAGAGTGCTGCAGTGTAGAGCTGGTCAAAATATTTAGTTTAAAACTTTTTCCAACAAAAATGGACTATTTTCATACTGCAAATTTTTTAAGAAATATTCTGATATTTCCACAACTCAATGAAAAACAAACTTGGAAGGGGGACTTCAGGTTTTTTTCCCTTTCTATCCTCCTTTTTCCAGTCCTTCCCTCATTTTTTCATTTTTCCAGTGATAAAGGTGGGGTCAGGGAGGGAGAAAGGAAAAGGGGAGCGCAAAGGAAAAACAAAACAAACACCCCCCCCAACCTGATCTTTTTAATTCAGAAATTGAAAAATATAAATTTGAAAACTTCAATTTTTCTGTGAATTTTCAAATGAAGAGTTTTAGAAATTCTTCGTGAAACATACTTAGCACTTTTTGAACATCTCTTGTTGCTTCTCTGAGACAACCACAAGGAAAGAACTAGATTAAAATCTTTATCCAAAACATCTGGGTCCAAATTTACCTCTGGTGTAGTTTCATTGGGCCAGATCCTGATACCCTTATTTTCAAGGAATTCCACAGTGAATTCCATTCACCTATTCCATAATTAGCACCACCGGAGCAGGGTAGGATACTATTTAATGTAAGCACCTGAATTTAGCCAAGTGATTTCAATGGATAGAAATAGATTTGGCCAGGTAACAGTATTTTAGAGGACATGCTCATATAATCTCTGACTTCTCCATGGTGGTTTACAATCAGTAACTTCCTCCTTTTATCTAATTACATCCCAATGTAACACTCCTCCTCTGAGTGTCTGACATTGAGGGCCACAAAAAAAACCTCATTATTTTGCTTTGATTGCTATGCACCTATGTCATATTTAATCTACAAATCCCTGGAAAGCGAGTAAATTTCATTCACATCATTAAATTTCATTTACACCATTAAACTCCTTATGGGGAAAATTCTGAAATCAAAACCTTTGATAAAAGGAAATCAACTGAAAATCCAAGAAAATGTAAGATGTTCATTTTAACTGTGTGCCTAGAGTGAATGTTTAAATGCTACATTTGATTTAAAAATACAAAATGAGCTGCCCAGAGAAACACAAATACCTGCCCTGTAGATCAAATCGTATAAAAACATTATTTTGAAATGTTTTTAATTAACTCTGCATTGAGTCTTCACATTTAGGAACTGCAGGAAGTTGTCTGCAACCATGGAAACAGAATAATAAATAAATGAACAGCAAAAACGTTAAATAAAATTGTAAAAATATTGACTAGAATTTGTGCATGTTGTACGTTGCTCCTCATAAAAAACCTGAAAAGCTGGGACACCTTTTGGAGCGAGAAAAAAAGTCCAGGCCCAAAGCACACATTTGAGATTCACAGTTTTGTCATGTGCAGTGAGCTTTGCTGAGCTAGAAAGAGACCTTCATTGCACAGTTCTATAGATAAACGATTGGTTCACCTGCATTCAGACATAAAATTTGGACACTTTGTCCTTCATGGAACTATAATATTTACATGCGATATTCTCTCTTTTGTTGTTGGTCTTTTTATATAATATAAACCTAAGCCAGGTTTGCAACTGATGCTGCAGGGGTAGGCTATTGTTTGAAAGAGGGATCTTTCTGACGTTTGTAGCACAGATTCCTTTCTAAGGGAGAGCAACACATTTGGAGCATTGACATCACAGGTCACACTTCAAAGCAATTTCCTTGCAGCGCACTGAGAGAATAGGTGGTAAGACAAACCCCCAACCCAAGAGGCAACCCTGGACATTTCTCCTATAGAACAGAGTCCCCGTCTGTCTCTGAAGGTTTATTCTGTTTTTAAAGGAATGCACTATTCCACTTCTTGGCCAAAATACAGCACAAGACGAAGGACACTTCATCATTTTCTCACTAACACGACAAAGCACATGATAGGGTAGAGGAGCGTGAGGCTAGCGTAGCTTCTCTATGGAAGCAAATTAATCTAGTAGTTTCGGGAACAAGACACGTGATGATGTAGGCTTCCCTTTAGAAGAACCAACCTCATTCAGAATATCAGTCTTTGGATCATATCCTCCCTCCCCACACCCAGTATGCTAGATCAGCATACTATATTAACAATGCCGCTAAAGACAGTGTGTTATATCTGCACTGAAATAAGTGAAAGATTAACCTAGGTTCCGATGTCAAGAAAACCTCATCTCTGACTTTCTTCCACTGCTTTCATCTCCCTGGCAGGGGGATTAACTAGATAACCTAAAAGGTCCTTTCCTCCCACCTTTAGATTTGATGATGCACCGTGAGCATATTTTTCAGCAAGGAGTTCTCTTTACTCTCACATTGTAATAATAAATAATAATCATACCTTAAAGTGCCTTTCATCCTGCAGGTTCTCAAAGTGCTTCACAAACAAAGGAGATATAAATATACAGGCATCACTTCACCCACCACTGAAATGCAGCCTCCTCTGAGGTGCAATGCAGCAGCTGAACAGCACATAGCAACACTATACAATTGTTTAGGACAGCAAGTGAAGGGGAATGGACCTCATTTGTTCCTGACTCAGGATCGTACTTCCTTTCCCCCCCGCTTAAAGAGGCCTATGTAAATCTTTGACTTCCATGTGCTTTTTTACAAAAATAAACATAAAATCGTAAGACAGGCCACTTGTCCTCCTACCACTTCTCACGGAGCTGTCCAGACCTCGTGGTGCTGAACCGGTCTGGCATGAAAAATATTGGCAGGTTACCGCATCTCACAATGTCCCTTTTATTATTGCATAGCAGAGCAAAACCTGATTATAGTTAAAAAAAATCACCACCACCACCAAAACCCTCTACCCCCCTGAAGTGAAGCCCCCTGGGTATGGTCATTTTTTAACCATTCCAAACAAACCCAAACTAACAGCAAGCAAATATTGTACACGTTTTTCTAGATCTTGCCCCGAGCCCTCAACATCAGATCTGCGCCGGGCTCTAAACAGCAGGGCACTATCTTATTCTCTTCCCACGTCCCAGGCCTGACTTCCCCCCCGCACTTGACAGGATTTTGACTTGGGGCGACCCCCAGTGACTTCAGTGGGGTTACTCCTGGTGTGGGGCCAAGGGAGAGTTGGCCCGCGGTCTCTCCCCGTTCCTCACCGGGGACCTTCCCAACGGCCTGCCCCTCGCTGGGAGGCTTGAAATAAGTAGAGTTGCCCTGGGCCCTTGAACATTTTCGGGCCACAGGTTTGGCAAACGTGCTGCTCCCCCTTTCCATTACACCGAGATGAGAAAAAAGCATCAAGCGCTGATCTTTTTTTTTTTTTTTTGGTCTTTTGTTGTTGTTTTTAAATAAAAAATAAATAAAATATGTAGGAAAATAAGCATTTTTTAAAGGAGACCACTCTTATTTTTGTTTTCTCGTTGACATCTTTTTCCAGGGAAGGAGACGCGGGTCGCTCTGGGATTCCTCCTGCTGGTGGTAACACATCATAACGCCGCGGAGGAGGAGAGCCTGAAACCATTTGACAATCCGGGCGGCCAACCACCCTTATACATCACTGGATGTCCTGGGCCTGGAGGAGAAGGTGGAAGGGATGCACCCGCAGCAGGCCAGCCACAGGGACTTCTGGATGTCCGGGTTTCTGAAGGCATAAATGACCGGGTTGATGAGCGAGTTGCAAGTGGCGGGCAGGGCCAGGGAGTAGGTGTAGACGGCGGGGTAGCTGGAATCCGCCACCAGCGAGTAGACGGCGAACGGGATCCAGCAGAGGGCGAAGGTGCCCAGGATGAAGGAGAGGGTGGAGAGCCCCTTGCGGGTGGAGGTGACCTGCGCCGTGGCGATGAACTGGTGCTGCACGGCGATCTGCTGCGCGTGCCGGAAGGCGATCTTGCAGATCTGCAGGTAGAGCTGCAGCATCAGGGCGAAGAGGAGCAGGAACGTGACCGCCAGCACCGCCGCGTTGTCCTTGGTCACCGGCCGCAGCACGCTGCAGGTGGCCTGGTCCCGCAGGCAGTTCCAGCCCAGCAGGGGCAGCAGCCCCACGCCCAGGCAGAGCAGCCACATGAGCAGCAGCATGGCGCAGGTGAAGGTCAGCGTGCGCTCCGTGTGGTAGGTGAGCGCGTTGTACAGCGACAGGTAGCGGTCGATGGTGATGGCCAGCAGGCTGCAGACCGAGGCGGAGAAGGCGGTCAGCAGCAGCCCGGCCGCGCTCAGCGCCACGGCCGCGTTGGGCGGCTGCAGCAGGTACTGCACGGTGAAATTGACCACCAGCCCCAGGCCGGCCAGCAGGTCGGCCAGCGCCAGGCTGCCGATGAGCAGGAACATGGGGGCCCGCAGGCTGGGCGTGTAGAAGAGCACGGCCAGCACCAGCGCGTTCTCGCAGGCCACCGCCGTGCCCGTGGCGCACAGGGCGATGTCCCAGGGGCTGACCGCTCCGCCTCCTCCGCCTCCGCCTCCGCCTCCCGCCGCCGCCGCCGCCGTGACCGGCTCCGAGGCAGAGGAGTTGGACGGCCAGATGCTGCTGCTGCTGCTGCTGCTGGGGAAGGGCCTGGAGGAGGCATTGAGCAGGACCAGGAGCTGCTGCTGCCGCAGCTGCTCCTCCATGGCGGCCGCAGCTGCTGCGGGGTTGTGGAGCATCGCTAGAGAGGAGGCACAAGGGACACAGAGAGAGGAGACAAGGGTGAAAGCAGCATCGAAAGAGCCTGGACTATCCACCCCTGAGCCCGGGGCCGCCCGCAAGAGACACGACAAGACCCGCTGTCCCAGCCTGGCCCCCAGTATCCCCAGTGCCGGTTGCAATGGGGACTGATCGGACACAGACAGGATTAAAAGACCGGTACCCTGCCTGGGCCATTCCCCGGTGGCACACCCCCCACCCTCCTCTGGGAGCCGAGCGCGAACGCAGCCGCAGGAAACACCCCCAAACCCGTTTCTTTTATTTATTTTTAAAAAAAAAAAAACAGGCTCGATCTTTGAATAAAATTATTTTCCTCCCCATCTTGGCTATTTCCCCTTCCTTTCCCCCGAATGAACAGATGGGGGATTCGTCTGATCTCGGGTTCCGTCTGAACAGCTGAAGGTGAGCAAGGCTGAGTGTCAATAATTCACCCGTCACAATGCTCGTTGCATGCGTTCCCATTAAAAGGCAGACGGTTGCATCAGGCACACGTACAGAGCTGCAGATTCATAGCATGATCAGACCGATTCCAACACTAACACTTGGGCACAAGCAATTTGGGGGTTAAACAGAGTAATGGTTACATCATCTAGTCCCTTGTTGTAAATGTGTCTTTCTGACACAATAATTTTGTTAGTAATAAATAAAAATATATTATTTCTGGCCAGGCAAGCCTCATACTTAAGCAAACCTCCTGGTTAAATCGGATCCCAGTGAAGGCTACAGACTAGAAATATTCTGCATTAACTTTGCTTGTTTTTAATACCGGTGCACTCAGGGACTGCTGGCGGCAAACTGCAGGATCTCAGCTGCATTAAACATGGTTTTCTTTCATAGTAAACCCCTTGCACTAAGTAGGAACCCTTTCACCCCCCCTCCATCACATCTCCTCCAACGCCTTGTATATATCGTCTCACATTTCACTCTTATGAAAACAAAAGTTGCAAAGGTCACACAAATGGTTTAGTCCGGAATCTCTTCGTCAAGGTTTTTGCTGCTGCTCCTGAGAGTGCTGTCCATAATGCAATTTACCAGAGCGCTAGGATTAAAATATTGAAAGGGCCACCTTCTAACTGGCTTGCTTTCCAAACTCAATACAACGCAAACACCCTTCCCCTTCCTTAGCCCGCAGAAGAGAAGTCAAACACATGCAATAACATAGGCAGACATGTATTTCTGTTGTTTTACCTTTGTTTGATCCTTGCTGATCAGCTTTCCCCTTTTTTTCGTGCTAGTCCTTCCAGTCCTTGGGATTAAGCTTCATTCCTTGGTTAACATTGCTAATAACGTTGGCAGATTGCTGGCATTGACTTGCACTTAATATTCTTGCCCCATTGGGTCTGCTGATATATCTCAACTCTGACGTCAAAGTCTTCACTTATATTCATGATCAGCTCCAAGTCTGTGAATCAGGGAAGCTGTGATCAGAATAACAACTAGTCTCCCTCCCTTGTTCCATATACACACGCATACACGAGGAGATACACACATACACATACACAGCGAGAGAGGCACACACACATACAATCCTCTGGAATTTCATTCATAAGATTTCAGAGACACTAGGACACACCTCCCCCAAGGTCAAATCTTTCACACCTGCATCTTGCGGATGTAGATTGGGTTACAGCTTGCTATGCCTGCCTAGGCATCCGGGGCAAGATAAAGACATAACAAAGGGAGAAGATATATTTTTACTGCTGATTCTGATGAAAATATTTGTGTTGCCTGATGGGCAGTGACTATACTGTGCCCTATCTATTCTGTAATTTGACCAAGTGCAATGCCCTTCAGACCATTTTTCCCAGAGAGCAATTCAAAGGCAATTCAAAAACCCAAACCAAACCCCAAATGGTTTAGTAGGAAGCTGTTCAAAAATGTATTCTGTACATTGGCGAAGAAAGAAATTATTATGGATTGTCATCTGGCTGACAAAAATTGATCTCTGAACATACAGTGTATATTAAACCTGAAAGCATATGTAGCTGTGCCTATGCATGTGTTTATGTGTCTATGTGTGTGTGTTTGCATATATTTGTGTGTGTGAGTGGGTGAGTTTATTATGCCTTGTATAAGCCAGCCCAAAAAACATCAGTGCTACACCAGCCACAATTATCTGTACGTGCAACACATTTGCTCAGAAAGCGTGTACACACAGATGCAGATTTGTTTTATTACACAGATAGTAAAAGCTACAGTCTAGAGCTCAGAAATATGCATATTTCCTCCCCATCCTCTTTGAGACGGACTGTATTTAAAGTCTAATATTTTTGTGCTTGGACAAGAAAGAATGCTGTCAAATTTGACATGCCGCAGTCTGCCACCCTTAGTGTGAGGGAACCTGCAAATGATATTGGTTGGCTACAATGACAGACTGCCATGCATTGTAATGGAGAAATACTGGGAGAATATTTAGTGTTGCATTTGCTTATTCTGCTCCTTGTCTTTTGTAGTCCAACCTTATAGCCGGGGGGACGGGGAGGGGGAAGGTGGTGGCAGAGGATGTGATATACTATAACTGCAGTGTCCCCCCTACAAAATATTGCTTCATATCACCGCACTGCTACAATGGAAGGTATAAACAAATTTCCTCCCTAGATATTCTATTTGGATGGCACTCATCCTACAAAGAACACCCCAAAAGGCATAATGATTTTTAATAACATGAGTCGTTTCATAATCCATACAGTAGGTAGTATTATTAAAATAGGAATGCCAAGAACACAAATCAACAATACAAGATAAAACATGTATTTTCTTAATATTTTAATGTCACAAATAAAAATCTGGGCTCATTTATGTATATTTTTAAAATGTAACCATACTGAATAAACTAAAACAATAATCATTATTATTAACAATAGTAACAGTTACTTATGATTATTTACTTACTTACTAATACATTACTTACTATTATTAACAATAGTAAGAAATACTGGCTACCTAACACTTCTTAGTTTTCAAAATAATGCAGATTACCTCTATATAATGAATGAAATGAATAATAAATAGGATTTACAGTAAATTCCTATTTAGGGCAGATTTTTAGATCTTTTTGATCAGGTTCATGGCAGTATTATGATTTGAAGTTAATTGAGGCAGGATTTGTCTTCACCTAGAAGAATCATTTTATGCATCTACGTTCTCATGCCAGGCCTATCTCTGGAGTATCTGACATAGATTTAATAGTCTTCTGTCTGGAGTTTTTTGCTCATGTGATTACATGGCTGGTATGTGCAGAGGGAAAGAGAACATGAAAAAGAGAGTGGGAAACCAAAATAAGCAAGCTGAATGAATACACTCACACTAACAGTAATTATACTGTAAAACTGGAAGGGCAGGATGTAAAAGAATATTTGACAGATCTTGCAACGACAGCCTCCTGTGATAAGATAATGGTCCAAATTGCGCTGCTATTATTGATCTTTGCTATAATTGCATTTAGAGGCCTTGATTGGTGCTCAGGACCCCCTTGTGCGAGGCCTTGTACAAATCCATAACAAAAAGACAGTCCCTGCCCCCAAGAGTTTACAGTCTATTCAATCTCAGTCCCACTGAAGTTGTTAGGTCCCATTGTGGGAGTGAGGCAAGCACCATTTGACTGAAGAAAGAGTGGATGATTTTAAAATGGCGTGAGTGCAATTCTCCCTCCCTCAGGATAAAGACATGAGGGGAACTGATTCATCTACTGAACTTCCCATCTTGGGGAAGGAGCAGGCATCACCAGTTGGGGAGAGCCTGGCTAGGGAGCTAGAGGGGGATTCAGGGGCCCCCACACTATGGAGGAAGCACCCCAGGCCTGTGCACAGAGGCCTTTTTCCCTCTAGCAGATCTTGTGGGGGAGCTACCAGTTCTGGTGAGCAAACCCTCTCCTCCTCACACAGGAGAACTCAGAGGAAACTCCACGAGGAGAACTCCATAGAACTTCCTCCTCCCCACTCAGCCTGCCCATGGATTTGTCTGTGGGAGGGGAGAACAGGACCACAAGATGGAGTCTGCTTCTAAAAGCAGAAGCTCCTAGAGATATGAAAGGATTGTTTTACAGTGTTGAGCTCCCACTTTAAACATACGGGGGCAAATCTTGAAGCCTTAACTCAGGCAAACCTCCACATGAATTTGATTGGGGCTGAATAAGGAGTCAGTGTTTGGCCTACAGCAACATGCTATTACATGCATGGGTTTGTATGAGGGAAGACATCTTCATTCCTATAATTGTAAAGTCACATCACCTGCATTCTTGGATGGACTTTTCAGAGGCTATTGCACATGATTCTGCCTTCCCAGCATTGCCTTTGATGGCACCATGAGCTTTGTTTTTATATTTAGACTTGAGTATCAAATTCTGTAAAACAATCAAAGAACAGTTAAAAACGATCACTAAAACCCAGGTGCATCCATCAGACTGCCCCAGGGCAGCGCTAACAAGTGTGATTGGTTCTGACATGGCTCGTGCCCCCCCGCCCCCAGGTTCCCAGAGACATTGGCAGCACTGCAAGGCAATCTTTACATAAGGAAAAACAGTTCTTGAGTAATGTCTCCAATACAAGACGAACCTGGAGATGAGCAGCTCCTGGGAAATGATGAACTCTCTCATCTGCTATTGACTACAGTGGAAGATGAAGGTGCTCAGCACTTGGCAGACAGACTCATGGCCAATTAGAAGGAAAAAACCCCCAACATGCTTTCTCTTCAATATTAGGCATTCACAACCTCTGGTATAGATCGATACAGAGAGCACGCAATTAGATCTTTGATCTATCTACCATTTATACCATCCTCACCACCGTGTTGTCTAACTATAGTATTACGCACCAAGCAACGCGAATAATAATATTCTATTGCACTTCTCTATGACTTCCATCTGAAGGTTTAAAAGCACTTTATAAAATGAAATGGCCTGACAAGAACCCTGTAAAGTAGGCAAGAATTATGACCCCAGCTTAGAAACTAGATGGGTCTG